GAAGAATGGGTGTATCGGTATGGAGCAATCAAGACAGTAACGGTAGACAATGGACCAGAATTCAAGAACGAGTTTATTACGGCAGTGGAAAGCATTGGAGCAAAATTCAAACCAACTACGCCGTACTATCCTGAAGCAAATTGAATGATTGAGAGAGGCCATAGAGCCATCAAAGACACTTTAGTAAAAATGTGTGGTGAATCTGGAGGAAAATGGAGAGAATATTTACCTTTAGTTTTATTTTCGGACAGAATCTCAACAAAAAGGACGACTGGATTTTCCCCATATGAATTGATGTTTGGACAGAAAGCAGTTCTCCCAGTGGATATCGAAATGGACACCTATCTTGGAATTGATTGGACAGAAATCAGTACTACGGCCGAACTTCTAGAAGCAAGGACAAAACAGCTGGAAAGACGAGACGAAATTTTGGAAATCGCTCTCCACAAAATGATGGAAACTCGAGAAACTTCAGTCAGATTCTGGGATTGAAAAATGGCGGCCAGATTACCTCAACCACTGCAACCTGGGGATTTGGTTTTAACTTATAATAAAAGTCTGGAGGATCAGTGGGGGAAGTTATTTGAAAACAGATGGAATGGACCTTTTAAAGTTAAGAAACAGCTTAATGGAGGATCATAAATACTGGAAGAACTAGACGGGGTCGAATTAAAAAGGGCCTATGCTGCATCTCACATAAAAAGGTTTTATCCACGAGGACAACCTTTGGCAGATATACAAGATGAAGAAGACTCACATTCAAGCTCAGATTCAGACCTTAACTCAGACGGGGATTCAGATGGGGATTCCTTCACTTCAGAATGAAAGTTTTTTTTAGTCTTTATCTGTAAAACACTTTTTTCAATTCTTCATCATCATCAAAAAAAAAAAATCTGAATATAACTCAAAAAAAAATATATATATATATATATATATATATATATATATATATATATATATATATATATATTTCACTTAACTAATCTACAAACCCTTTTCAGACTCATTTTTGTTAAGTTGGGGGAGGATCATTGAAGAGTAAAGTCATCATTTTTTCTTTCTTGAAAAATTTACTTCCTTAAATTTTTTCTTCTTTTTCTTTTGTTTTTTGGATTCTTAAAACTTACTCTCAAGAAAAGTTTCACTGACTTAGTCAATGGTTGAGGACAACCAGCAAAGTTGGGGGAGGGGGTCTGGAAAGTCAAATTGGAAAATTAAAAAATTTATTTACTTAAGAAACTAAGAAGAGTATAAAGTAAAACAAATTTAAATAATAGTAATCATGGGGAAGGGTTAAGAAGAAGAAGTCACATTTTTTTTTAGTCCTTAAAAGAAATTTTATACTTTTTAGATTGTTTTACCTTTTAAAATTTTTTTTGGGTTTTTTTTAGAAGAAGAGGAGGGGAAAACAAACAAACTAAAACTCTCTGGTACTTAAATAGGTAGATCTCTTATTTCTAAAATGCCATTGCATGTTCTCAAAGAACATCACTCGGCGGTCGGATTCGGCTAAAGAGGATGGCGGATACTCCGAGCACATATGAACGTAATCGGGAGCGATACCTTCAAAGATGCGCATAACATCTTCTTCGGTATAGATACACACGGTGGATGGCGGGTTGTGGTTGTCAAGGAGGAGTCTTTGAACCCCCTGATGGTTCAAACCGATATAAGCCAAGATAGGGGGATAGGCCGATGAAGCAGTGGACAAAGCGTCGGACGAGGTCAAAGGCGCTGAGCTAGATTGCGAAGACGGAGCCAGAGAACTAGAATTCGAAGAGAAGTCGATCGGAGCCGAGGTCTTTAAGAAAGGGACCGGGAGTCCGGGGGGAAGCTCCTGAAATTTAAAACAAAAACAAAGCGGATCGTATCAGTAATGGAATCAACGAGGACGATGAAAGGAATAGATGAAGCACGTACTGGATCATGAATGTTCCACGCAACACACACGAAAGGATGCGGATCGTTATGCACGCTCATCCTGGGAACTGCGGTTGGGATCGAAGACTTGAAGGAAAAGCAGAATCAGTACCAAGGTCAAACTACACCAAAACAAAGAAAGATAATAAACTTACAAGGTCGTAATGCCCTCGAGGATTGTAGATTGAGTGCCATTTGGCTTTGAGAGGGAAGTAATAACCGGGAGTCTCGACGATCTCTAGACCCTTTGGGATGGCGATCTTCTGCGTGGTATTGATATTCATTGTCTAGAACAAATTAGAAACAACAATGATGAATCAGTTAGATCGAAGGAGCGCGTTATGAAGAGAGGAAAAAGGACTTACTTGGGAAACAGAGGTAGCCTGAGCGGGATCAACGTCCGCTTGACCACCCGAACCACCAGTCGCGGTGATATTCTAAAGAAGTCAATAAAGAAAGAACGTTAGAATCAATACAGTACACAAATAAACAAGAAAAGCAAAGGACTTACCGGCTTAACTTCCTCAATGATCGGTTCATCCACGACCATTTTGTTGGGAGAGGTTTGAGTTGCTTGAGAAGGCTCTGGCTCCCAAACGGGGCTCCACATATCACGGTCCGGGTAATACCTAATCCCGTTTTGAACATAATTATACTGGGAGCAATAAGAACAACTCATTAGCATCAAGAAACACGACACATTAGACTAAATAAAAAAAAAGATCAGCTCCTTACCTCAGTCAAGCGGTCAGAGCCAACGTCATAATCAAGGGTGTAGTCAGGAGTTGAGTAGCAAGACAACATGGCAAAACCTGATTTAGGAAGACTGTTTTGAAAACAAAGTTGTGACTGGGGAGTATGGATGGGTCTTTGGGAGTAGCTGACTGGTGAAGGAAGTGGTTGAGGAAGAAAAGAAACCGGCAGCGAGTGAATGGTATTTATAAGAAAACGAGGACCTCTCAATTTTAACCTACTGGCGCAGAAACCGATCCACAAACGATTTGACTCCATCGGTGAAAACCTTCTTTTTAGAACAATGAAGACCATTTCGCATTTGTTTATTCAAATCAATGTGCGCCTGGATACAAAAAAGGAGAAGTGATTCAGATCCAATACGACTATGCTACAACATTGAAGCACTACTCAAAACAAAAGGAGTGAAGATCAAAAACAATCGTCAGCTAGCAAAAGAAAAGGAAGAGAAACAAAAAAAACAAAAGGAACTTACTAGAAGACTAAAAGCTATTCTCAAACTCGCCGCAAGGACAATCTTGCATCCTTTATTCAATCGGCGCGGGCCTGGATATGAAAGGGGAATCGATTCGAAATCCAACACGGCTAGGCTGAACCAGTGGTACTATTCAAGAATAAAGGAAGGAAGATCAAAAACAATCTTCAGATAACTAGTCGACCTATACAAGGCTAGCAAAAGAAAAGGAAGAGAAATCCGAAATAAGAGGAACTCACCTCGACTGCTGAAGCTATCCGCAAGCTCGCCGCGGAGCTAGTCTAGAGCCGATTGATAACTATTCGAAAGGAAGATAGTTTTTTTTAGTTTACTAATTTGAAAATGGCTAAAAAGAAATTGAAAATTAGAACATTGGGATAACTTACTGGCGGGGAAGGATAATCGACTAGCGTGAAGGATCGACGGTAGTCGAATTGCTGAGAAGTTGGTAGAAGCCAGAAGAGAAAGGACCCATGGAGAGGCTAGCGCGGAGTCCTAAGACCGATCGGACCCTGTCACGCTTTGTGACAGGGCATGGAAAGCTAAAACAGGCACAATCAAATTAGAATATCCCATAAGCTTCCACCTTCAAATCCACCATAGTCGAGTCAGTAAGGACTGCAACTAGTCAAACTGCTGCGGACCCAAGTTCAAGCCCCACCTTGTGTCAACATTGCACGACCCACCCCCTCTACACCTGAGGCATGTGTCATGCTTTTTGAGGTCATGAAATAAAGCCAACAAAATCAGAGCTTTTTTTCAACTCTATATAATTCCATACAATAAAACCTAAAACTCAGAAAATTCACAGTTTAAATTGGGTTCAAAAACCCTCATCTGGCCCAATTTCTACTAAACATTAAGTCATAAACAATGTGGAATTTTTTTTACTGTTATCACTCAAATACGGAATAACCTCAAGTCAAAAAGCTGAATAATCAAACACAACACCTCGCCTGCTGCCAAATTTACCATCTCAGCAAAATCAAAATTGGAGTGACACTAGACCCAAATCAACTGAACCACCAGCATCAATATTCTTGGACAGATCAAGTAAAACTCTGAAAAAGAAATCACATCTACATAACAAAATCTCAACTTTTCTTCATCAATCAGAACTTCACGGATGAATTCACCACACTACTCAACACACTTCAAATCAAATCTCAGATACACACGGCCAAACTTATTCTTTTTTTTATTTGTAATATTAGCTCCAAAACACAGTCAGAATCAGAATTGACTGGGGACAGTCAATAAGTTGGGGGAGGATGTGGTAAATAATACTGTGTTTCTACGCAGAAAATATAAAAATTTCTTATTATCTTTTTATTCATTCAAGATATGGTCAAATTGAAATCAAAAATGGAATCCTCAGGTAAAATAAGGGGGGGTTGATTTTTACAACCCTTATTTTACAAGGCTTATGCCTTGTAAAATGGATGCCTTGGCAAAATGTCTTGAGCCATAAGCTATTCTTAATTTTCCATGGGACCGGTGATTTCGGTCTACTTTGGAAAAAAAACATTGTAAAAGATTCTGTGTATTTTTCCCACCTAGCGAGAGGAAACGTAGTTTCACAAACGAAGATTTTACAATCATATGCCTTGCAAAAGCGAAGCGTCGCAGAAGGGCGTCTAAGACTTTAAAAGTTGAATTTTCCAAGGCTTCCATCACAAGGGTTCCGATTTCACAAGGATGAGCAATGTAAAATTCACAAAAGCATGTGGTATATGAGAATTTCACAAGGGATTGGACTATTTACAAAGGAAACACAAGAGCCGAGAAAAAAAGGAACATCCTGATTGCCAATCGTGACACGTGTTCGCCAGGGGGACGACAGGCTAACAAATCAATCCTGCTGAGCTTTGCGGGTACTTGCTCGAGTGCCCGCCCGTTTGGGCTTGATCGTTTTAGTTTTTGGGCCGTTCAATTTTTTTGCTGGCCCAACATTCTTCTCGTTCGTCTTCCTCCCAATCTGTGACGCTTGATCCTCAACTTTAGTTGCCTTGTCCTGCTCTTCAATCTTTGGAGCATTGCCACTCATCAGTTGCGGGTCGGTAGTCTTCATGAATTTCAATCGGATCTTAAACTCTCCGGAAGCTTTTTTCTTACGATCGCCAAGTTGGTCTCCTCCCGATGTAGTGCTAGCCAACGGTTGGGTTTGAGTAGTTGTGCTCGCTAAGGTTTGTGTTTGAGCCGCTGAAGAGTCAAAAATCATTGGAGCAGAGGCAAGCTCTGCAACATCCGAGTCCATTCTTTTAAGCTGAGGTACTTGTGTATCAACTGAAGCCAACGTATGTAAATTTTCATCGCTCGGACCCAGTTTGATTGGTGAGATGTTGAGGAGCATGCCCAGATGGACAAACGGCATCAAACCTTGAGCTCCATCGTTGTCCCGAGAGATCCTCGCAATGCTTTCAACCACAAATGCCTCCTCACTTGGAATCCAAGCTCGCGAGTAAAACACCCAGCTTGTGTGCCGGGCCTGTCCAGCGATAGTGCTATGGTCTGAACTGATCAGCCGAGCAATCCCTCCATTCTCTCGATCGTCGTGCATCCATACCCCTGAGATGCCGCCAACGTTCTTGAGCATCTTTGCCCAATAATGGACCCCGTTCCAGAACCCGCGAGAAAAGAGAGTGTAAGAAACCCCATGGAAATCCAACTTGAAGGGGAAATCCAGTCCGGCCATGAAGGTTTGCTGAGCCATTTGATCAATGATCGTCGATACTTGCACCAACAAGTACAAGTGCTGGGGGGGTTCGTTCTCGATCGTTAAGACCGACTTTTCAATGAGGTGGTGACGCTTGTCAGTCTTCTGAGTTGAAGGGCAGGCCTGGCAGCATAAACCTGAAACTGTGACAATGCCGTCAGTCGTCCATCTCGAAATTATTGCTTGAATTGAAGAGGGTTCGATATTTGCAGCGTTAAAAGTTTCTTTCTGAATACGCAAGAGTGTTATGTCCCGGATCCCACGAGGATGGGGCTGATCAAACGACGGACGATCTTGACAGGTTGCTGTGCGGACCTCGGTAACAGTAAATAGCTCTCGAGGTGGGTACATTGATTTTGATTGTTTCCTGAATGTTGGATCAATGAGCAAATCAATGAACAGATCACATGAACAAAAGACCCCTGGGTTAAAACTACCAGGGGATAATTTGTTTGCCGCGGTTTGCAAGGAGTTCTGCCCGATTGACAAGAAGGTCCGGATGTGTCCCGATTGAGTCAATTCCCAGGTCGTTCGTGAGTTGAAATGCTTGATCAGGGTGGTGAAGATGTCTGCTTTGAGCCCGTTGGTCCCACGAAGCCAGAGTGGATTGAACAGTGCGTATAGGCTTTCAAGTGCTGCAGCCATCCAGCAGCGGTTTTTCTTGGCCGAATCTTGGGATGCCGAGTAAGAGATGTACGTTGAGAACGGATCCTTGTTTAGGTTTGGAGAGTTCCTTGGCCGACCACCCACATTCTTAGGAAGCAATGTCGCGGTTGTGTCAGGAGCTCGTCCATCGTTCTGATCGGCTTTCTTGCGGTTAGCTGGGTTCCTCTTTGGTGGCTTCTGCCAGCCAATTGAGATTGCAAGGTCGTGTTGAGTCTTGTTCTTGGAGCCGTACTCAATCGAGACTCCCCTCATGACTGCATGCCAGTCGTCCTCTAGTGCCTTGACAAAAGCGAAAAGCTCAGCCATCCCAATCATCAAACATTTTTTCCCGTCACTTTGAGGCCCAAATTGTCAGTCAACAGCCACTTAAACACAAATCAAGATGGGAGAAAGACTAACCTTATCATGTAATATAGCCTGTGCATGCTCTCTTGAGCATTGGTTGTATCAGGAAGGTTGTCTGTGCTGTTTTCCGAGTTGGTTATCATTGCTCGTTTTGAAGGAAATAGCATGGCCTCAACGTCAACCATCGTCCACCAATCCAACCATCGTTTGGTCTTTGGGAAGAGCCTTCGCAGTCGTCAATCTTCTGCTCATGAGTGTGCTTTCCTGGCTCAGGTAATGCAAAGATCCAGCACAGTTTTGAAATGGGCCTGCACCAATGGGTCAGCATCGAGCACATAAACATAAGAGAAATGAAGAATAAAAGGACTCTCATACTTCTTGCTCCGGTGGGACAACCGCCCGATTGCGTTTCACACGGGTGACCTGCGCACGAAAATGCTCATGGCAGCCCTTCAACTTTGAAAGGGCTTGTTGTCGATCGGTGACTCCAAACACCTTCATGTAAGCCGCAATGAACCCCTCCCTCTGAGCCAGTGAGAAATCTACAACCTGGCGAACGAGGGTCTCGCGATCTGCTGTTGTGAAAGAGGGCCGATCAAACTGCTCAAAGAGTGTAGCAAAATGGGCCTGGTAGTATTCCGCGCTAAGCCCTCGGATCCAGGAGAGCTGAACTGGTATCCAACGGGCGGTCTCTTCGCAGAACATCGATGTGGATAGTAGATAGCCGGTCTCAAAGAGTCTGTAGGTCACGTCCGATAGGAGCCCCCCGCTGTAAACCTCGTTGTTGTGATCACGGGTGACCAATCGTTCCCCCATCCACTTTGTTTGAAAAGTGAAATGTTCGATACCTGGTTTGAAAGATGATGAAATGATGAGAAGCCCCATGCTACAAGGTTTACATTAGCAACACGCAATAGAATAAAAATGATGGTAGACTTACTGGTTCCATTGAAACATATCATGTAAGAACTTATCTCCTAATCCAGCTCCTCCCTTCTCTGGGTTGACTCCGAGTTCGGTGAGGACAAGTCGACGATGGTAGCGCAACCGATCCATGTTCACAAAGGCCTCGTGGATCTGGGTCACACTCTCAAATGGGTTCAAAGGGGCTGTTGGCTTGCCTAACTGAAAATCCACAATAAAAAACAGATTGATCAGAATTGATGGTATCCACGGCCAGCTTAGATGAAAAATGACCTTGAGCTTGAAAGCCCCAGCAGTTGGGTTTTTCATAATCTCCTTCTTGAGCTTGAGCTTGGCCAGTGGGTCCGGCTTCTTTGGGGCTGGCCATGGGTGGTTGTGGGTGCCATGGTGTCGGAGAATACCCCATTTTGTTATGGTGTTTTCATCGATCCGAGTGATGGTGTTCTTGCATGCCAGATGTCCGACTTTCCCAGGACATTTCCCGGCTGCACCTGGGCATTTTGGATCCCTGATAGGGTGAGGGGGTGGTGAACTGGTCAGCACTGAACAAAAACCAAGCCAGAAGCAAGAAAGAAAATGATATAGCAAGATAAAAAGAAAAAGGCTTACGTTTGCAAGTATTCAGCTATTGCATCCTTGGCGGTTGGCGGAGAACCTACCCACTGGCATCCGGGCTGGTTACAGATGAAAGCGCCAAGGCAAAACATTCGGATCATTTTCCAGGTTCGATCCGCTCGCCATTCCACATTTGATGTCTTGGGGAATCCAACAAATCCCCAATTGTGGACAATCATATCGGGAGTTTTGACAAAGATTGTCTTGCGATTGGGATACAGCGGATATCCATCACCGTCAAGCTTGCAGTCGTGATCGATAAAGGTTTTTTCATTACCAGATGGGGCAAAGAAAATCTTCTGGCCTTTGATTGGTGGCTCCAAGGCAGGGTCTTCAGGGGAATTCGACTGCTGGGATAACTCCTCGTGAAAGCTGGTGCTGTCTGACATGTCCAATATCAAAAAAGCTAATGTAGTGAGAAGCGGAACGGTAAAAAAAACTAATGTAGCAAGAAGTGGAACAGTAGATAGATGGGGAAGGAGCAACCGATACCAAAATAACATCCAGCGTGACAACAGCTTTGAGGCTTGTGAAAATATATTTCTTCCTATTGGGGCTAGAGTATTACCAGTGAATACAGCCTTGTAAAACCAGCCTTGTATTCTGTACATTGCGAATTTGTTGTCTGAATATGGAATATTGAAGTTCCAAAGGTGGTGTTACAAGGATCGCAAGATAAACAGTGTAATATTGTATAAATGGGCTGTGTACAGGAGGTTACCAAAGCATGTTTCACCATGCATTATTTACAAGGGCTGAAGAAAGTACATAACACATGGAAAAGTATGATTTCCCCGGCCTGAGCCGTAATCTCCCAAGGCATCCATTTTACAAGGCATAAGCCTTGTAAAATAAGGGTTTTAAAACTCACGTACCCGGTAAAATAACCCCTAGTCACTCACCACAACCATACCTTTATCTCTCATAGTTTAGAAGTTACACGTATTTCAACCTGTCACGGGATATTTCTTGGATTTTTCACTCTAGCCATAATCATTATGAATACAGGATGCATATTGCATACTGAATTCCTTTGTAGTAAATTGAATACCTTTACGTTATTTTGAATCCCAGTGATATTGCATGTATGCATCCCTTTGATCATATATATGCGTCCCTTTATTCATTCATATGCATCCCTTTGTAGTAGTATCTTTCAGCCTGTACCCTGGGGCCAAAATCCCTCACATTTGTCTATATAAGGAGGCCTCTGCCTTCCGGTTGTTCCCTCCATCATCCCACCAGTGGACCAGATCATCTCAACCACCCTTATAAATAAATCCATCTTATATATTATTTCAGAACTACAAGTCATAGCCACATTACAATTTCAGAATTATATACATTGAAATACAGATTTAACACTTTCATCATCATCATAAACCAAAAGTGCCTTGAACCACATCCATCAACAACAACTTCATCAATATAACCAATAGTCAACAACATCTTTATACCCTCACACATATCAATCGGCAGCTTCATCTCGAACTTATCCCTATCACTATATATAAAATTGCCAAGCTAAGTTTGGTGGTCTTGTTATTCTGATAGTATAGAAGGGCAGAGCTTGCAACTCCAACATACCCTTCTCCATTCAGCAAAAGGGTTTTTCATAACCACTTTTGAGTCTTAAACCATTGGCCAAGGTTTGATCCTTGGCCAATGGCCTTGAAGATCCCTGTAGGACCCAGGCCTGGGTCCTACAGGAATGGCTATTCCCTTGGGGGCAGGGTTAATGGGCCCAGCCACCCCGGGCAAAGGCTACATCCTTCTACCCACCCCTCCCCCTCCTCCCATCAATTCTTTGCCCCAACCACCACCTCACTCTGGACCCGGGTCGCGGGGCTGGACCGGAGCCCCAACCCCGAGAATTGAGAAACAAATCCCTGTAGGACCCAGGCCTGGGTCCTACAGGGATCATCAAGGCCATCGGCCAAGGTTCAAACCTTGGCCAATGGCTGTCAGGCTTCAAACACTGAACGGATGTCCGTTCAAGGTTTGACCCGGACAGTTGTCTCCATAGGACCCATCCCTGGGTCCTATGGGATATGGCTTGACCTAAACCCATATTCATATGGGTTTAGGTTGCGGGCAAGGCTGCATGCCAGCCTGCAAGCGAGGTAAGCAAGCCTGCCTTGCTTAAACGTTGGCGTTGTAAGACTCAAAAAGTGATTGTAAGATCCTTTTTGCTGAATGGAGAAAGGGATGGATGAGCTGCAAACTCTGCCTTTCTATATTATCAGAAAACAAGACCACCAAGGTAAGCTTGGCAGTTTGGTTGGTGATAACGGATTATGTTCAAAGATGGTTGTATGATTGTTGAAGGTTGATCTTTTTATCCAAAGAATTTATTGATTTGTTGATGTTGTTTCTTGTCTTGATGCCTTGATACTGTATATGTGTAATGTAATAGAGTTGGTTCTTGAACCCAATAATGCTGGGAGCACTTTGCTTCAACCAGGACTGGAACAAAGGACTGGTTCTTCTGTGTAATGTTTGTGAAACTGTGTATATATTTCAACTGTGAACTGTACTACTTGCAAACCTCTTGTGTAATAAATATCTGTGACAGGTGTCCCACCAAAAATGTGTACTGAGTGGGATGAGGAGGGAAACAACTGGCAGGCAGAGGCCTCCTTATATAGTAAAATATGAGGGATTTTAGCCCCAAGGGACCCCCTGTATGAGGCATTTTAGCTGCCCTGTACCTGAAAATACTGAGGGATTTTGGCTAGACTATCTACAATGCATCCCTTTTATATGTAAGCTGTAAGAAAGGAATTCATGTGTTCTGTGGCTGAATAAATGGGAATTTAACTGGTACAACTGGTGGCCAACTTGTGGTTCTGTAAGTATAAAAGGAATTCAATATGAATAAAAGGAATTCAATATGCAATATGCAATATAACCCCATGCAATATACCCTCCAGCTGAGTGCCTCTGATCCTGTGATTCTCCGTGTGACATCCTTGATTCCGCGTAACTTTTGATCCAGTAGAGATATGAAGTTGGTTCCAGTGAGTGACTAGGGGTTTAATTGGCCTTAGATTCCATTTCTGAGGTCCATTTGTCCCTATCTTGAGTCCTTCATTGATAAATAATAAAATTTTGAATTTTCTTCCTTCATACACAGGAATAATGACCACAGCGTGCAGCCTCTCACACCAATCAAAATTGGTGTGCAGACCCGCACACCAGCCTGATGGGGGAATGCCCGCGCAGAGGGCTGGTGTGCGGGTCCGCACGCCAATTTTGATTGGTGTGCGGTCCCACACTCCCTTCAGAGAAGGGAGTGTTGTAGTGTGTGTGAAGGGGGGTGGAGTGTGATTATCACTCCCCTTCATACCCCCTACCCTTAAAAGCCCTTACGTACATTACAGACCATCCCCTTACCATTGAAATATCAGCTAGACTCACTCTCTCACTCTCAAATCAACCTTTAGACCCTTATAAAACTGGGTTAACCCCTTTGTCCACCTGTTAAGCCACAGTTATCTTTTGATACACTCCACTAATCTATCATTTTATTCAAACTTCCAATCTGATATTGATGGGCTTGTCTAGTGTCAAGTGATCCAGGAAAGGCAGAGGGATCCTCATTCATCCCTTTCCACACTCAGCAAAAGGTTTTTACAAACACTTTTGAGCTTTACAGCGGGAAATGTTAGTATTCATGTATTGTAGCTCTCTTTTTTTTTCAAAACTCTTTATTAGCATATTTTCCTAGTCATGCTTATATATATCTGTGCTCTCATTAGTCCAGTTGAGAATAGCTTTATATTGTGTTATCTCATTTGTAGCATCTTTTCTTTTACTATTTAAAGCTTGAGTTTGTTGATCCAGAAATACAAAATCATTGAGTCTTTCCCTCTTTGACTCTTTCACTCATCAATTATCAGGAAACTGGAGTAGCTTGCTTTCTCAACTCATTACAAGTAGTGATCCAGTCAGCACATATCTTCTCCTTGCTTCCGTTCTTTTTCTAGATTTCAACATTGGCAGGAGAAGGATGCCACATCCCACTGCCTTCTTCTTCCGTTTTGGAGGTGAGTGGTTTTTTAGATGGTGGGGCTGGATTGGTGTCTTCTGATTATGTAGTGTTTTCAGAAGAGTTTTCCGGTTTGGCAGAGGCAGGGGTGCTTTCATAATTCATTAGTGTTTATTTTGGATAAGTCGTCCCCAGACTTTTTTGGAATTTAGACTCTTCCCTTCTTCATTTCCTTCACTTCTTAATTCTATAATATCTCTTTCTTATATTAATACCCTAAACCACTAATAATTCTATAGTCTTTCTAGTAGCAATTCATGAGATTAAACATCAAATTCTTGTAGTCAAAGAACCCTGAATCCCTAGTTGTTAATTTCTTTCTTCTCCATGCATATCTTCTAATTATTCTTAAAGTTTTGGTGTTGAGATTGATCTAATGAAACTAACATCCTCATTGGAATTGTGGTTCTTGTTTTCTTTTGTTTCTTATCAAGTAGAGTTATGATAAATAAAAAATGTCTCTCTCATGTTTCATCAACACTGAATTCAAGTTCCTCTCAGTCTGTTTTTTCTTATTCATTCTTGTTCTTTATTCAAATTCTCCACAACCACTTTCTGACCATCTTGTACATAGTCTATTTAAAAATAGCTAGTTATAAGAAATCAAACCGCATCAGTTCTATCCTTCATTTCTTGCAAATTTGAGCTGTTCCAACAAGATTATTTTGTTGTCCAAAAATTCTCCAAAAAACTCCTCCCTGTTAATTGGCCAAAGTTTCAACAGACTTGGCTTGCTTGATGCCTTTGCAAGCTAGAGATTTAGTTGAATGGGGGTGGGTAATCTTAGAGATCCACACCTTGTACATCCCTCATCTTGCAATCTACCATTAAGAAAAGATCCCCTCCTTCTCTCCTCAGAACATCCATAACAAATGTTACACAATGTACACAATGTCACCTACCATCTAGTGAGCATTAATTTTTCCTGGTGTGAGCTCTTTCACCTCATCTTCATTATAATCTGGAGGGTAAGCTCAAGGGAAAATGTTTTTGAGGGCTTGTCTTGTTTTTCTATTTGTTCAACATTAATCATCTGATTTGTTTGATGTTCAAGTTTAGATTATATAGGGGCCTGGACCATAGGATTGTGTGTTGAAAAACAGTCATTTTTTCTGTCTTCTACATGTTGAGTTTTTGGGAATGTTTTGAACCTGTCACGGAAAGCTCCTTGCGAGGACTGCGGATTCTTTGAGAACTAGGAGCCGCTTAGGGCTAAATACTCTAGTAAGAAATCTTCAATCAGCAAGTCACGAGCAAGAAAACCAACATCAACTACGCCCTCGCCTACTCTCTCAAATTGAACGCTTGATAATCATTGACCGTCAAGATTTACTTCCAGGACAAACTCGTAAAGTAAACCTTGAATCAGTGACTCAGATCAATTGACCGGATCCTAACCTTTCTCTTTCTTCCTTCTTTCTTTTGTGCTGTGTAGTCTACGTTTCCCAATCTTCTTCTCTTGTCAAAAATCTTATGTGTCAAGTTTGAACATACTTCTTATATTTTGCTGTTTGTTTTTTCATCCTTTCTTCCTTCTCTCTTGTTGTTTGATGCCAAAAGGACTAAATTTGTTTCAACCTTCTTTTCTCTTTGTTCTCAGTCATCTTCATACCTTAAAAAACATCCTCTCTTCACTCGGAAAAGTCCTCATTCCTCTCTATCTTGCTCTGATTATTGGTATTCCTCATACTTTTTTGTCACTGTTTTCTCTGTTCTCTTCATTTTCTAATCTTTTTTTTCTTTTTGTTTTCTCAGTTCTGGTTTTAGTTTTTAAGCAATAAATCAAAATCTTTTCACTACACAAAAATTCTAAACAAGGGGCAAGCTTTGGTGTTGATGTTCTTTGTTTTTGTGCTTATAAATAGCCTTTGGTGATGGTTGCTTTTGATTGTATGAGAACTTGCTGAAGATATAAATCCTGAAGAATTATGAACAACTGAATTTCCATGCCATACAGTACAGCTGGCCCTCATAAGATTCCTTTAATTCTTCCCTAGATCTCATGTGTGATGAACTTGAATTGTACTTGTTTCTCTTGCCTAGTTGTTCTTTTGCCTAAATCATCACACGTTTAAGTGACAGTGACCCCCTAATTTCCTATGTTCATTGTTCTCTTCCTCAGCTTTGTGTTTAGCTGATTCTTGATTTGATTACAATTCTCTGGTTCCTAGTGGTGCTCTCACATCGCACTTTGACTGCAATACTTTGTATGTGAGTAGGTAGTAGGGCTGCAGATTGAATCCATGATCATCTTTCGACTCTCTTAATCTTGAGCATCTTGTATGGACAAGCTTGTTGGTTTCGTTTCCTGATGATCGACGGAACGGAATCGTTTCGAACATTAGACTCATGATGCAGTATAATGTCTCAGGGATTGGCTGTGTCGGTTTGGACTCAGTCCCTTAGACACACGGACCCTTATGTCCCCTTTTAATGTGAAGGTGTTGATCATGAAGTGCTCGATTGAGGAATCCAAGGGTCTGTATTCCGATTTTAAAGCCGCGGTTGCGTAGCCCAGAAAGCCCAGTGAGTCTGGTATCAGGGAGGGGCTGAGTGGTCTGACCGACCCCCGCTCGAACCTCTTCCTCCAGCTGGTGTCCTGCACTTGACATATTAAGTTCACCCCCCCTCCACCCCCACCCCCACTGTTTCATCCCTCCCACCTTATTACAACATCCCAGCGTTCTCTTGACCTTCTTACTCTCCTTTCATACTTCATCATTACTTTCGCTCGCTTGTTTCTTATCTCCTCCTCCTAAGCTCTCTCTCTCGCGCTCTCCTCACCCAGCCTCCCTCTCACGCCATCCACATCACTTATACCACCCTTTCCAATCGATCAACCTCCAACCACGCAATGTCTTCCCCTGAAGTAGCTGCCCCTGCCGTGATCGAGCCCACTGTTGCTCCTGCTGCCGAGCTCACAACCTCTGCACCCGCCGATGTGGTAGCCGAAACCCCTGCGGGCGCTGTCGATCAACCCACCACTGAGGCCGCCGAGACTGACGCAGCTGCACCAGCCGTAGGTCGCGTTCCATTCTCATCGATCGCGCCACACACACCGTACTGACTCTTTAGTTGGCTTGAATCTCACAGGCTGTCGATGCCGCCACCGACTCCAAAGTCGTCGAAGCTACCAAGCCCGAAGACAAGAAGGAGAAGAAACAAGGCCGCAAGCCGTTTGCTGACCTTCTTAACAAAATACTCAAAGTTCGCCGTTCTTCTTTCCGATCTGCCACGCTTATCCTTACTGACTAGAACTATTCACATCTCCTGCTCATCTTTTTTCCAGCCTCAAGACAAACCCGCGTCTGAGAAGAAGATTGAAGCTGAGGCTGTTGAAGAAGCGGCACCCGAAGCTGCTGCCCCGTGAGCTTGTACATTGCTCAATCCTTTACCATCCGTACTGAAATCCATTCTCCTCCTTTTCCAGGGTCGCTGAAGCACCCGCAGCCGAAGCTGAGACCGTTGCCGAAGTACCTCAAGTCGCTGATGCCCCCGCAGAGGCTGCTCCGGCCGAAGAGGCTGCCAAGGATGTCACTACTCCTCGCAGAGAACGTGGTAACATCTTTGAAAAATTCACTGCATTCGTCCTGAAGCCCAAGAGCCCGAAATGCAAAAAAGCGGATGCCCCCAAGGAAGCTGAGGAGGAAGTCAAGCCTGATGAGGCCCCTGTTGCTGAGGTGACCCCAGAAGCCCAGCCTGTTGAAGTACGTTTTTTTTTCCCCAACCTTCATGACATCACCAATGATTCTCACGGCGCCTTCTTTCACAGGAAGCTGCCCCTACTTCTCCTCAAGCTCCTGCTCCTGAGGCTGTAGAGACACCTGCCGTCGAAGCCGCCGTCAGCACTGAAACTCCTGAGGAGGTCAAGGTTGAGAAGAAGGAAAAGACCCCTAAAGTAAGCAGGTTTTCCTTTGTTGATCCCCATTTCCGTCGTCTCACGCTGCTTCTCTTCCAGGACCTGGCCAAGATGGCTCGTCGATTCAGTGGACGATTGTTCGGCGCTGACAAGAAGAAGGAGTCTTCCAAGAAACCCGAGCCCACCGAAGAGGAGGCTCAAGCAGCCGCACAATCTGAAAACCCTGCCGAGGTAAGATCTTAATTCGGACTACCCACTCACTCCGGTCAACGGCTAACCACGCGTCATTCTCCTTAGAACGTCGCTGTTTCCGATGTTGCTCCTCAAATCCCAGCTGACCCCACCCCCGAGGTAACTCAGTCTGCCGCTGACCCGGCACCTGTGATCGCGGCCGCCGCATGAAGAACTTCCTTCGGTAGTCTCCTTGCTCGCCCTACTCCCCTAATTCCATCAGTGTCCATTAATAATCCACCTCATTATACCCAGTCATCAAGTCGACACGAAATCCTGTTACTTTGCACTCTGTTCTTGCTTGGACAGATTTCAACTTGAGCACACGCGACCCAGCTAGTCCACACATGTCCTGTTTCATGAGGCCTGCGCTCGGTTTAACTTGCGTACTTCAGCTGCAACAGCAAAGCGTTTCACAAATCTCTCTTCATCGGTTCTTTTTTTTTGGCTATCTTGGATCCACGTCATACTCGTCCTCGTCATATGTCTTACTTTCGTGTTTATCTATCATTTGCAATTACGCACACCTCCTAGTGACCCATAAAACCCTTGTGACTGATGCCAGCACTCGTTTTCGATCGTCAACTCATTCTTTAACATGGGGTGTCAGCCCCTTCTTCCCCTTCTTCATTTGAGCTTGCAATGGCTAGCAATTAGATGAGATGACTCCAGCTCATTTAACGGGGTTAACCCAACACAGCGGAGCGGCTCCCCCCAATCATTGAGACAGTGTATCAGCTAGTCTTCAACTCTGAGTTTCTCGCAGTCCAGTAACTCCCGAAAGCTGATGCCCCGGCACATTAAACAATGGAGTACACATTGAGACATCTGGATCGCGTGACCCATGAGACCATGAGAGGAGCTGCGTCCGATTGATAGGAAAAAGGCAGCCAACTTCTTGGAATGCTAAGGGAGGTTGAGTGAGTTTCCTTGGCATGAATGTCTTACGGAAATGACTATCGTACAATAAGTTACCCGCCGAATATTCCAGCTGCAAAGGATGGCGAAGGAGTCAAGATACGGCCGAGATGGATGAACGCCACAGCGGGGTTTGCTCAGATCGAACCACCTCACTTGCCCAGGAGTTCGGACTGGTGCCCAACAAGTGAAGTCTTGACGCGCCCGAAAACCTGTGCACTTCTTGATTTGTTTCAAGTCAACACGCAGATGTATGACATTTTATCAGATTGACGTTGGATGGACGCTATGAATGAAGATACAAACAAATACAAACATGGCGATTTGCTATATGTACGGAGTGGGGTAAAGTTGGTGAAGATAGGAAAACAAAATACTACAAACGAGGCAGGTTCAATGCCAGATCCAAAATCTCTTCAGCTTTGTTTTCAACCAAAGTGAACTGGACTGGAAACTTGATCCTTATGGAGAAAATTAAAGATTAACACATGATGAGTGGGGATGTTATTTATGATGTCAACCCTGCTTCATGCTAAGCAGCGAAAATTCATCCGTCCTTTACAGCTTGGCTCGAACCGCTTTGTCAATACAATCAGCAACATACTCGACGTTGGAAGAATTCAATCCACTAGATAAACGGCATATCACCACAGGGTCATTTTTCGTAGAAGCATGTTTGATCATTAGCTCAGACGCCAGCAAAGCAGACTGTTTCCAAGACAAACCACTTACGCCATCGAAATTCGACCATTACCAGTCATATAGATGTGAGCATTCTCCACCATCTTCTCGACTTGAGGGGGAGTCAATCCAGTGAAACTGATTGTTAAGAGAAGAGTAAAAACTAATCAACTCTTGCTTGCTCGATCTCTCAGACACTAGGGACTTACGAAAACATGCCAATCTGCCGAGTGATGTGTTCCCATGAACCGGGGGTTTTATATTTATTCTCGAGCAAATCTTTTAACTGCTTTCGCATATCGATAATTCGATCGGCCATCTCTCTGACGTCTTTCTTCCATTGTTCGAAATGTTGAGGCTCGTTTAAAATCTTGGAGACCTAGAAAAAACAGGTGAGAAAGAAATTCAGTTATAAAAAAAACAATATACGACTTGATCTTAGATCGAGGTAAAAAGAAAAAAAGAAAAAAGGAGAGAAGGAGACTCAACGATTCGAGCGCCGTAAGCGGGAGGGTTAGAGATCTCACTGCGTTGTAATACGCTGATCTGACTCTCAATTCGACTGGCCTCGTCTTGATCTTTAGCGACGACAGTCAAACAGCCGATTCTCTCTCCATAGAGCCCGGCGTTCTTGGCAAAACTTTGACAGATCAAGAGCGGAATCTTACGATCGACGAAGTGGCGGACTGCCCAGGCGTCATTATCCAAGTCACCGGATGCGAAACCTTGGTAAGCGCAATCGAAGAAGGCGTAGTGGCCTTTAGAGAGGAAGATGTTGGCTAGTTCTTGCCATTGATCTCGAGTTGGATCGACCCCAGTTGGATTGTGTGCACAAGCATGCAACAAGAAGACCGACATCGGTGGGGCTGAATTCAAGGCATCCACAAATCCCTGGTAATCCAAGCCGATCGTCTTTGGATCGTAGTATGGATAATCTTTGGTGGTAAGCTTCATGTTGGCAAAGATCGCTTTGTGGTTTGCTGGGAACAAACAGACGGCAAGCAATTAATTTCGGTTCCTCATTTGGACTGTCAGTGTTGGGAAAAGATTACTGACCCCATGTTGGATTGGAAAGGTAGACGACCCGCTGATCGGCTGGTAGAGCTTGCCAGGGTTGATAGAATTTGGCCAAGAAGAGGCCACCTAAATGATTTGCGCCTGTCCCTGAGATCGTCTGCGCTTTGGCCACACTGTTTTTTTTTTGCAGCATTGAGTGAGTATTCGCTCTTGTGTGTGCGTGAATGGCGGGAATCAGAAAGAGGATAAGAAAAACTGACCGGTTCTCAGATATGGCGGGACTGTTAGATCCCAAGATTAAGGTCGAGCTGGCCGAGGTGAAGGAAGGTAAGCCGGTGATAGGTTGGTACTCGTGGTCGAGATTTTCGTCTTCTGCCAATTCCTTCTTGATCTGCAAAGAAAGAGCGATGCAGTATTGATGAGGGTCAGCAAAGTATGGGGTACATACAGACAGGCGGGCCAGATGAGTTTAATTAGTAATACATACTGACCGTCTTAACTACCGGTAGGACCCATGGCTTGCCGCTGTCGTCCCTGTAAGCTCCGACGCCAAGATTGACTTTCTGCTGGAATTGATCGGCCTTGTAAGCAGCTGTGAGCTGGAAGATGGCATCTGGAGGGGCGAGTGGAAGGCTTGCGAAGATGTTCTGGGTGGATGGCATGATGTGTGTATGTATCGAAGATGGTGTTCTTGGTTTCTTTCTTTAATGGAGGTTGTCCCTTCTCAGCCAGCTCAAGTCTCAAGCCTCATTAGGGGATGCAGCTTTCCCCGGGGCTGCCGATAAACCCATACAGACTATCCCACTGTCGATCCTATGGATTTAAGAATCACCCACTCCCACATCGGCCTGTGTATCCAAACCCTGAACAGATCAGAATTCTCTATGGGGGTACATATAAAATTTTACAAAGTATACCCCCTGGAATCAAACAAAATCCCAAAAACACCCTTCCAATCTGCACTTTTACAAATCTCCCTTTCAGAATAGTGCTCCTCAAACCAGAGCCCAGCAGAAAACAAAAACAAACACTTTAAAATTGGTGATGTGACAATCTGGTACTAATTTAGAAGTGTAGAACATACATAGCAATGAAAATGTATGAAATGGTGCCATAAAATTGCTTGAACTGGCGGATTTGAAAAACAAAAAAGAAACAGGGGACTACTTTACAAGGCAGGAGCTGCTTTGTGAAGAGAAGCCTTTGAGAAAGGGCACCTTGGTAAAATTCACAAGGAAAGAACTGTGAATAAGCATAGATCCAGTAAAGCACCATGAGACCATTAGGCACACATCTTGGCCATCCTTGCAGATCACCAGCATCAAAATCATCTAATAATAATTGGAGCTATCATTTCAGTATCAACCAGAGTCTCCAAACTCTGCCATGCAACCAGCCAATTTGATTTGACTTTTGGGTGGTATTTGTTCCTTTTGCTATCATCTTTTTGTACTTTCATTTTTTTTCTCCTGCTCAGAATCCAGTCTGTCCCAGTGCACTTTCTGAGAAGCATTGAAATAATGGGCCACTAGTTAACTAATGGCCAACAATAACAATGACCAATCTTATTGGGTAGTTATCCATGTGATGATGTGAACAGTGGTCATGGATGCACTACTGTTAGTGTATTTAGCTACAGGTCCACTAACACTTGATGTATAAAACAAGACAGATGTAATAACACTCAGTATAATCTCTCCATCAACAATGCAAGGACTGTTATTCTATTGATATTTCTGGCCTATGAGCTAGATACAGATGAAGAAGTCCAGGCATAAGTTTTCCATTCTTTAGAGAACATAGTTATAACTTATGTGAATGAAAGAAATTGAATATGGAACTTGAGAATTATTAAGATCAACTATGTAAAAATTTGATCAATCTTGGGTCTGGGAGCAAGGTCAAGAAACAGGAATATTATTTGAAGTATCCTCCCCCTTGCCAAATCTTCTGAAAAATCTCCCTGTCATCAGCATCTTATCTGAGTGCTATGTCTGGATGTAGTGTAGTGCATTGTCATCTTGACTCAAGTAAACTAACCAGATGACTTACTCTCACTCCAAGGGTTTTTGGGGGAGAATTTGGTTCAAGTACTGTGCATTTTCAGCTGTTGGGTGGAGGATGTCATTGGTGTGTACCCAAGGACATGCTTGGTTGTTTGAAGACATCAGAGTGCTAAGTTGTTGATGGACCTTGTGATTTGTTGGCAAAGTCTGGTATCTATCATGAGGCTTTACAAAACCAAAAAAAAAAAAAAAAATGGCCCTTGTGTAAAATTAAGATTGGTATTTTAAGGAATAATATCATGTAAAGAGAAAGACAGGTGACACTGGAGTGACAAGAATTCCCCCACTGTTGGTGAAAAACTTGTTATCCAAAATCAAGTGTACTATCCATAATAACATGCAGTAGTGGTTAGTGCATTGCTTGAACTGTGGTGAACAATCCCCAAATTGGACACCAAATAACCTGAGATACACTATGGCTCATAATGTGGTAGCCCATTGTTGATTTGCCTGCATGCAATTGAGGATTTAGATGTTGCCAGATACTACTGTTACAAAGTGTTCCCCAGGGCCAAATCCACCTATGATTATTGGAGCAGGTTCCACAAGGGTTTTGTGACACTGAATTTTGAAAATCGGTGTCATCTTGAGTAGCATTAAATTTAAAGCATCTGATGGATCTGCTTCCAAAAGCCACAGGTTCAAGTGGAGGCCGGGACACGAAAATCCAAACTAGAACCACGTTGTGATTGGGATTTTGCCTCATCATATTTCTTTGACGCAACTGCCCCGAAGGGGAGGTGAGTTGGCTTTCAGGTGAACCGCTCGGAGAGTCGGAGCTTCGAACTGGAGGACGAGAATACATGATAACTCTAGACGAGATTTCGAGAATGCTCTTCAGCCAAGTTTACATCTTCAAAAAGTTGAGTCAATCATTGAGCGACATGGGGTATGTTTTGTCCCTCCGGTGAGCAACATTGAATGATGGATCGATGATCCTGTCATCCATTCAGTTCTAGTGAAGAGGTGCTTCTTGGGATCATGCTTAGCATGATCTGTTTGGGACCTTCGAGGAAGTGATAGATGAGTTCCATAAACTCGAATTGTGCAAACGCCTCTAAAAGAGCTACAGACTCAAGTCAGATATGCCTTCTCTTCAGCACTCCACCGCTACCTCATCAGCATTGTGATCTACCCATACTTGCCCCTGGTCATTGCATTTATTTTGTTCAAGCATTAACTTTCTTTCGAGGTCTTAAGACTAAAAAACGTTCCCAGTCCTCGCCCTCCAAGCTATAACGGCCATAACGCTCATCTAGAATAAGCAGCCAGTTACGATTCCCGAAGTTCCAAAAATGATCTCCAGAGTTTTGCTTGCCTACGTTTTGATTTCCCTGGGTGCTCTCCCAGCTTCCTTAGCCAATCCTGCCGCTGGCGGCAATACGGAGGTCTCGGGGGCCGCCGCTCAGCCACAGAACTCAACAACAACGCCAACCGGCCCAAATGCTGCTCATGCCATCCTACCTCCAAACTCTGCAACTAATGAAAACCTCCCGGTGACTGCCGCAAGCCCTGCGGACAATGCCACACTGCCTGCTGGACACCCTCCGGCTGCTTCCACAGCGACTGGCGGCAATGCTCCTGCCAACAGCACATTGGTTGCAGAAAACCCTCTGGCTAATGCCACGGTGACAGCCGGACACTCGCCGGCTAATTCAACTGTGGGAGCTGGACATGCTCCGGCTAACTTCACCTCTGCAGCCGGTTCCCCACCGACTAATGCTACGACGACAGCCGGACACCCTGCGGAAAATGCCACAGCGGCTACCGGACATATTCCTCTGGGGAACACAACGGCCACGACTACTGAAAGCCCTTCAATCAATGCAACGGCTACTGACGGACACTCTCGAGTCAATACAACGGTGATTGCCGGGAGCCCTCCGGCCAATACGACGGTGACTGCCGGAAGCCCTCCGGCCAATACAACGGTGACTGCCGGAAGCCCTCCGGCCAATACAACGGCGACTGTCGGGCCTCCGGCCAATACAACGGCGACTGTCGGGCCTCCGGCCAATACAACGGCGACTGACCGCCATCCTTCAGCCAATACCACTGCTACTAGTACAGCACACTCTCCAGCCAATACAACAGTCACGGATGGGCATTCTCCGGCCAATGCCAATGCTACTGTCGGGCACTCCCCGGCCAATACAACGGTGACAGATGGTCATCCTCAAATCAATACAACCGCTACTCGCGGAATCGCTTTGGCCAACACCACAGCTACGGCTGGAATCCCCCCAACCAATGCCACCGCGACTACTGGACACTCTCTCGCCAATACTACGGTTGTGGCAGATGTGCCACAGAGTGGAAATGCCACTAGTGCTGTTGGCGCACATTCCCCAGATAAGGAAATGAAAACAGACACAGCTTCTGCCGCTGCTCATGCCCCCGAACCCCATCCTGAATCACCACCAACTACAACTTGCTACCACAAGTCTAAGTCACATGGCATTGAAACCCATCACTGCGATAAGTAAGCAACTTCCTCCGTATATCTAATCGCCTATACGCAGGCACATTCAAACTACAACAATATTTAGCTTAAATCGACGCTCTTGTTTGTTCTAGGGCCTTGGACAGAATTGTATTTGCAGCCAACCAGACGCTTGATAAATTTTCAAGCTTAATATTCGCAAATTACAAGACGTGCAACGTGAGTGAAATACATCTATATTCAACAAATTCCTGGAAATGTTTTGACCAACAACTATGCTCAAAACATTAGATTCACATTCACAAGCCTCAGAATGCAACTTTGTGAGTGTTCTCTAATACATATCATTCCAAGTAGACGAACCAAAGATCACTCAAATTTGGACTACATCTCCACCAGGGAAAAGGTCGAAATCGCCTTGATGGTTCACAACCTTACTACTTCCTGTCACTCCGTGGTCAGTTTTCTGCGGTCAAACACACAGCTTTCCAGAGTATTGAAGCGCAAATATGTTTTTTCTACTTTCCTTATCACAGGGAGGGGTACGTTCACAATCACCGAAGTTGACCGTACGAGTGGAGCGTGGCACCAAAGAGAACGTCCATGACGTCGACCGTTCGATGTGCAAAAAAGATAAATGTCCGCTCACTCAAAGTGATTGTCTGAGGTGAGAAATATTAAGCTTGGACCTGAGTCGTATTGTGAGTAGATCTTGCCCTGACGCGTAGTCCGACAGTGCCTTCTACCAACTCCCTACCGATTCAAGCGGCACCTTCGTCAACAGGAAGGGAAGACAACCCTTTGTTCGTGTGACCAGCGGAAACTGCACGGTGAGCTTACTTCTCAGCAGAGTTGTCATTCTGTTATCTTTTTCCTCGAGCTGATTCTGAATGATTTTGCAAATCAAATACTTCAACAGGTCACTGCTTCGACTACTGATCTGTCTGCTTTTTTCATGTGAGATTGCGTTTGTCCAACTCAAGACGAGTCATATGCTTTGATTAACGTGTCATTATCGTGCATCACAGTCCGCGACAATTTGTGTTACCTACGATGAAGAAGCTCATCAATGAATGTGGTGAACACGTAGGTCATCACTCAAGTGATTTGTCTAAAGCTCCGCTGACCATTGGTGTGTTTTGTTTCAGCCTGGCAAGATCTACCTCAGCGGTGGCACGAAAGGCTACAACGGTGACATATGGCTCTCAGCTCGTGCAGCCAACGAGGACTTGTGCCACTAATTTACCCGATCCCAAAGGTTGCTTCCCTGAAGGGTAGTCACATCTAGGTGCTAGTTTACTCTGGCTCCACGACAACAGCATCATATACATGCATCATGTACTTCTTTCACTTCCTCGCCCCGAGGCCATTTGTTAATTTTCTTTCCACATAATCATTGATAGTATGCCCAAGTTACTCAATCCCATGAAGGGTTATATTTATTGATTGTGCTGTCGCGATCCTGTTTAACTTTATCTTGTATTATCCTTCAGAAGAAAATGAAGTTCATTGTAACCTTATGACCCTGCTAGGAAAGACGCCTTTTCCCCCATCTAACTTTGCTCTTTTGAGATTGGCTGTGGTCACGGTATTATCCACTACAGACCCCGCGACAATGAATATTCGATCCCCCTCAGTTATTTAAAATCAAGTTATTGATTGATTGGAAGCTTGTTGCTCCCCCTCTTTTAAGTTTCAGGCGCATCAAGAGAAGTCCATGCAAAGAAGATGTGTAGTACTATTTTGGAGAGAAAATTAATAAACGCAGCCAAGAAAAACAAGGAACGAGATGATCTGTTTTGGATGGTTAACATGATTTGCTAAATTTGACCTTCTTTCGGCTATTTTTTACTTGAGGAGCTTTCTTCTCGTGATCAGATTCCGCTTCGGATTGGTCAGGTGATGGACTTGACGAGTGACCATCCTCGTCATCCTCGGCCTCCGAATAAGCCAGTTCACTAAAGATATCAGACAGCTCCGCTTCCTCATCAATCTCGCTCCCCTCTTCCTCTTCCTCCCCATCCTCATCACCAGCTTCGTCGTGGTCTTCATCAGCTGCTCCATCCAGGCCCTCTGCTTCGACATCGGTTTTCTTGGATTCCTTGTTGTCGGATTTCTTTTTGGCTTCCTTCTCCATTGCCTTCCTCTTGACGTTTTCCTGCTGCTCTTTCTTCCGTTGGCTTTTTAACGCTTCCTTCTCCTTGATCTTCTTCTTGATTCGTTGATCTTCTCCCTTCGATTTTTTGACTGATCAAAATAATGAAACAAAAAAAACGCAATCATTGATTGTAAGCTAATCGATTTTGTTTTGTGAAAATTGTACTGAAAGAAACTCAACTTAGTTCATGATATAAGATATCTCCACCACCCAGTCCTTGTTCAATTTTGATCAAGCCGAGTTCCATTCTAGGACCGATTTCCCTGAGTCGTATTGCCTTTTTGGTGTTTTTGATATTGCCTCTTCCGAGGTAATTTTGGGGCAGCTCGACCCTCCTATCGTTAGCCTCTTCGCCTTCGCTCTCGTCCTCGCCTTCACTACTCAGGCCGTCGTAATCCGACTGGTTTCCATCCTCGGTATTCTCAGATCGGGCGCCGGTGAATCCACTACTGCTGGCCGTGGAGCCTGGTCCAGCTTTCCCCTTTCCCAGTAGATATTCCGCAACGTCCTCAATCGAGCCCAGGTCTAATAGGTGCTTGTTCCGCTTATCTGACTTCACATCCGTCCGTTGTCCAGGAACACTGACTCCTTGCATCAGTTTCCTCAGAGCCTTCGAAACCCCGATTGGCTTGACGGTAATCAGGTAATGCCGGAAATCGATCGTGCGGGTTGTTGGATTGTAGGAGAGTAGGACGACTCGACGTGTTTGAACAAGCTGGATCTCGTGTACTTTAATTTGAGGGAAAAGGTTCCTGAATGTCGTCGTTAGCAGATTGAGTCGATTGACATCTTCAGCTGTCGCATTAGCGTCCGGGTTGAAATTGTTCATAATAAGCTGAATCAGAACAAAAAAAGATCAGATCAGATTATGGCAGATCTATAGTAGTCAATGGAAGGGTTCTTACCAAAGGTTCAGTTTTAAATTCAGCCCCAGGACTGCGAGGATGTTTATCAGAGTTGAGGATATCGATCATGAGGCTAAAGCGTAGGATTTTGAAGGTGAGGGTTGGGCCCCTTGGGACTTTGTAAATCTTGAGATTAAGATTGGAGATCAATTCGGTTTCTGCGGACTGGTTTTCCAATTGCTTGGCCGTGCTCATCTCTGATTGGGAGAAGACTAAGATGTGGGTGACTGATAAGGGGCCAGCCATGGCCAGGAAATCCTTAAATTTGTTCGACTTTCTCTCCTGTTTCGAGTCATAAAAAGGGATTAGTCGTCAATATATAAGTTGCTCAATGATACAATGAGGATTACTTACTCTGAGATGAGAAGCAGTGTTGGGCTCCATGACCTTCCTGAAATCTTTGACCAAGAGATTGAGACTGGTCGAATGATGTGGGGATCGTGTTGCTGAGGCTGATGTATGGTGAGCTCTTGTGGACTTGATGATAAATGATTTTGGTGATTTCGCCGTGGTTGCTGCCGCCGCTGCTCCAGCCTCTCGTGCCTTCTTGTGCGTTCTATTTTTCTTTCGTTTTGCCATGTCTCTGATCTTGGAATCCCTAGATCTTCTTGCTCTTTCCGGATGATGTTGTTGTTGGTTTTCGAGTTCTGCTTGAGTTTCGTCAATCTGGATGAACTCCGACGGGCTGACTCTTGGCTTTTATTCTCGTTTTTTTTTTCTTGGGTTTTTTTATTTTTACTTTTATTTTTACTTTTTTTCCATTTTGAATATCCAACCTCTCCTGGGGAGCTGTCACATGGACTGGTGCGTGAACGTTGAACTGCGGCACAAGTACGGATGTGCTGATGAAATCCAGAATTAATGAATCCACCAAATCTTCAACCTGTTCTACTTGCAAGCTGAAAGTTTTTGTTTTTTACAAAGATTGTCTACACAGGGAATTACTTCCACCATGATCAATTCGAGACTCCAGAATCAGATGATACAAGCTTAGTTGTCAATCCAAGCCATCTTTGGATAGATGTTGGAGTCTCAGTCATATTCATTGACAATTTGCCTTCCCTTGAGTTTTGTATCTATCATTTGATTGCTGTTTGATTGGCTTACCAGCTTCAAGTGACTAATTCGTAGTCTCTTTTCTTTCCCACTTCTATGTCTTTCTCCATCCCAGTTTTGTTGTATTTATCAAAGCTCAATGTCTCTCTGAATTTACATCATTCCCTATCATAACTCACTCTTTCATTGCCCCCAGGCCTGGAAGGGTGAGAGTCGGCCATGTTTCATTTAGATATGTGTCTCTTACAAAGCCCAATGCTGATTATATGTCGCTTGAATTTTTCCCATTCAAGACTGTCAGTCTGTTTTTCAACTATTTTTTCTTGTTTATTATCAGTTTCTGACTTGATTGCAGAATTTCTTGTTCAGTTGATTCTGACTTCAGCAAGGCTATGATGGACCAGGGTCCGGGGTCATAAGGAGGAACAAACTAGGAGAGTATTGATGAGAAATATTATGGAGAAGGAGGGGGAGACTGCTAAAACTGACAGGAGATTTTCTCAGACAGAGACAAGACTCAACAAGTTTCAGAGGCACTCCTATTAAGAAAGAGGTATCTTTTGCAGGAAATTAGAAATATAAACCATGAGGGTTAATCCTACAATAACAATTCTGTTGGTGTAAAGGCCCACCTTTCTTTTTCTTGGGTGCATTTGCAAAAAAGGGGTGTTGTTGACAATGGGTTTTTGCCAGATTGTTTTTGTTTTCAAGATTCAGGTTTCTTTGTTTTCACAATCATGGGATATCAATTCAGGGGTGGAGGTTTCAAATGGGGACTTTGACTCTTCCAGTGCCAAGTGAATCTTCAATGTCAGGAGATAATTTTGTGCATGTAGTGCCATTTGCATGGGTTCCTCCACATTTGTCACAAACAGCCGGTCCAACATCATGTGAGCCACTTGAACAGGCCATTGAAGTGAAGAGGGAGATAAGAAGTAACTTTTAGTTTTCAGAATATCTAACAATGTGCTTGCCAATTGGGTTATTGGGGTGTTTGAAAATTTAAGATTTGTGCTTCAAGAAGTTGTGCAGGTACCACATTTCAGGGAAATTATAGAACACCATGAAGATTAATTTGAGTTCTCTACTTTGCAGCACCCCAACTTCCAAAACAATATCCTGTTCTGCAATGTAGAAGATTCCAAATACTTGAAATTCCAGGAGGTTTTTCTCAGTTTAGCCCAAGCACCAGGGTCCAAAAGCTGTATACATCACAATGATCCTACCTCAATTTTTATGCTTTGCTCTGATTTTTGCAGAATTTCATTCTACTGGTTTATAGAATAATGATTTGATTTTGGTTTAGTAGCATACTATTTGGTTTATAAAATTGACAAACCTTTTTAAAGTTTTCATTTCCATATAAATCCATTGATCCAATTAACTTCATTTATGAGGGAATTTAGATTAGAACAGGGGGTGGAGGGAATATTTCAAGGAGTTATAAAAGCCAACTAGTTGATTGAACTTCCAGTTTGTTTGTGCCCCCCCCCCCCTGAAAATTGATCATGTAAGTTTGTTGAACTTAATATTGATTTCAAAGAGTTTTTTCCCCCTAATCACCTCCAGAGGTCTGATCTAAGAGGTTCAAATATTCTTGTTAGCAGGAAAATTCAAGTGAAACATTTATACTATACCTTGAAAGGCTGAAATATCCACAATGGTCCCATATATGATGATCTGATAGAGAGAAAGAGGAATCTGGCAAACAGGGTCTAAATTCCTTTTTTTTCCTTGAGACAAATTCAAGTGTACCAATCATCTGCTCACCTTTGAAATCAGGAAAAGAAGAAAATTTCTGAATGAGTGACTTCAGTGACTTTGATGAGGGATTCATGTATGATGCCAGCAATCAATGTGACCAAAGGAATCACCATGATGGTTGGTTTGCAGCACTGTCTCTGTCCTTTTCTAACTTTTACTGAGTAGAACCTCCTTTCATGCACATTCACTAGTTCCCAAGTGGCAGAAGAGGGTTAGAACATAATAGACAACAATGAAACAGAAGAAACAGATGTGTGTGTCTGTTGTAATTATATGTGGTTTTTTGGGGGATTCAAGTACTCCACTCCATACTTGTTACAGTAAGCTTAATGAAGTCTTGTCCAATTTATCCAAATGGATTTATAATTTATCTAAGATGTTTACAAACACATTCAAATTGCAAATGGCCTTGCAGCTTTTGCGTCTCTATGACTGACAATCCAACGCCCCACACAAACTTGATGTTGCAAACTTGCATGATACTTTATGCACGCAAGAAATATACAGAAATAAGTTCTGAGATCAGACTAATGTATCAATTTAAAAGCATTAGAATGTAGAATCATCTAATGAAGAGAAGTTTTAATAGAAATGTAGAATCATCTAATGAAGAGAAGTTTTAATAGACAATAATAATAATAACATTCGTGATCATGGCATAAAAAATTGGCAAGCAGTTATTCTTTTTTTTTTGGGGGGGGGGGGGTTAACTTCTGACAAATGTCCTTCCACTGCAAATTACGTATAGTGATGCAAAAAAAGAAAAGCGTTGTTAATGGGTCTTTGTAGAAATCTCTTATCAGAAAGAAATGTAAAGGAAAAATGTACCTAGCAGTCTTCCGTTCTTTATCAAGTACTTCAGGCTTAGCCCGATTCAAGATCTTCAGGAATTCGTTCGTTCTAGCTCTCATTCTAGAGTGAAGATAGGCTTTGGAAGCTTTGATATGATAGTGTAGATAATCTCTGAACAGTTGGATCCGAGAGATCGTACTGAAGGCGATTTCGGGTGTAGAGAAGTGTCTCGGAAACAAGACTGTGGGTGGTCAGTCGATTCTTTTGCATCAGTCCATCAATCGTTTGTTAAGAAAACCGATAGATGTTTAGGAAACTAACCAAAGGTCACATAGCCCATGTTTTCTGTGGCTGCAAGACCCGGAATATGGTTTATTTCACGCGGTGGTTCTCGGTTGGAATAAAGAATTTGAGGTGCAGTTTGGATAGCCGGACGTCTCCTAGCATCAACAAATTCCTGAAATGATGATCGGTGGAGATTAGAATCGATTTCTCTTTGACAGGTGGTATGTTTTTGTTTCTTGTTTCTCTGATCATACTGGGGGGGGGGGGGATCATTCTGACCTGCAAAAACACTTTGCCATACACCATATCAGTATCCTCTCGAAAGATCGTACTGAATACGACCGTTACTCGGTCCACATTAGGGATCACATAGATTGCTTCCTCTGGACGATAATTGAGGGCCATCAGGTCTTGATTGGGATCTCTGGGAGGGGCGTCAGGGTTGGGTGGGTTGGCTTCGAGTGCCTTTTGGATCTCAAAGGCGCGTTCGAAGGGTGCAGCCAGTGCATTGCGTTTGAGGAGTGCAACCGATCGGATCAAAGCCGAACGTTCCTCTAAAATAAAAACACACATCCAAATGGAGAAAACAAGGATGATTGGATTAATACTCGGTCGAAATCCGTATTCTTTGGATCATCGAGCAAGTCTTACCTGGATCGGCCGGTAGTTTCTCTACCTCGAAAACCAGACTGATATCGTAATCAGGCTCGATCTCTTGAGAAATCCAATCAGCATATTCACGTTTCATGATATCCCAGACGCCGTATTCGACCAGTTCGTGCCAACATCTCACGCCCATCGATAACATGATGATCGTCTTCTTATTAGGGGTTGAGAGATGATATCTGACACCATCGCTATCCAGTCCGAATCGGGTATCTAGCGATCAGAATCCACTTTTGGGGCGTTTTGATACCTTCGAATCTACACTCACAAATCGACAAAGGCTTGATCCAACGAGCCCGGCCTGAAAGCAGTGGATTGAGAAGATTTTAGTGAGGTGAAGATTAACGAAGTAACTCAAAGTCAATCGAGCTTACTTGCTGAATTTCTCGGTCAAGACATCTGTGGAGTTGTTAGTTAGTGAGAGTCGATTGAAGTCAGATTCAGTCTAGTTTGAGGACAGCTTACCCTGGATGATCTTGTTGTGGTCTTCTAATAGGATCATCTTGCCTAGTTTGAAGATGTTTGATGGATGATCTCAGTGGTGGTGGTTGGCTGTGTTCTTGATGGTCATGAGCGGGTTTCCAGATTTCACTGCACAGCAAACTTTGGGCCAGTTCCCCCGACCAGATGACGTCGGCGATATCCACCCTCACACAAATTACATATTCTTATACGAAGTACACCAGCTGAGCCAGGCTCGACAGCCTAACAGTCAAGTGGTCCATCAAGACAACAGAGGTCCACAATTAGCTGGAGGTCATCTCTGTTTTGTAGAGAGCCAGACATGATGATCAATTGTAATTGTTTTTAACGGTTCCTTTTGTTCTTGTCTTCTATGACAAAGGGCGCCGGGTACTAGATGTTGAGGATCCTTCAGCTTGTCTTTTGTCGACAAAGGTTCTGCATCTTGCTGAGTGTGTGCTGTCAGTTTGATGGCAGGCGGAGTTTGGATGAAGTGATTTTTGTTCGTTTCGGGGTTTTGTGTGTCCCCCCCGTGGGGGTCGCTGATTGATTAAAACAGCAAATCAATTCACTCTGAGTCCAAGCTCGACCAGCAACTTCAGCCTCTCTCGACTTTCTTTTCTTTCTCCTTCCTATTAACTCTTGCTCTTTGCACTTCAGCTTCAGTTTAAACCATGTCTCACTCAACCCAACCTCCTTCAATACTCTGTCCACTCCCAAGGAGAACTCACTCAAATCCAATCTACAACCACAACAACCACAGAAACAACAACCGAACCAAGAAACTCGAACAAGAACTAACCTCCTCAGATGATGTGTTCGTCCATTCCAAATCATCAACTCAACAACAACCATCATATATACTGACTCAAAACACTACCAGTCTGTCTGAATTTCTGTCTCTCTTCACCCCAGCCTCAGAAGCGAATCGACAATCGATTCTCATCTACCAAAACCATCTCGACTCATCAATCCAACCAACCAACGGCCAATCATCAAACCAATCCAGTCAACCTACCTCACCCATCAGAACTACCACCTCAACCCCTCTATCATCCTCATCATCCTCATCACCACCACCACCACCACCACTCCTACCACCACCACCACCATCATCATCATCATCATCATCATCATTTAAACCGAATCAGAATCATCTCCCACAACCAACTGAAGATCTTGATCTCCCTCCTCAGATCGGCTTAACGGTGATCCCTAATCATCTCAGTTCGATTGTCTGTCAGTATGATCTCCCTATCTGTTTCTCACTGGTCTGCTTGTGGAGGCTGATCTAGCCTCTGTCCATCATTATAACAGCCTCACCGATCTCGAGATGTCATAACCCGCTGCCTCGTCATGCCGAGTTGGATGTTCTGGCTTCCCGTCTCACCAAGCCATTCGAATCATTCGAACTCCACCAAGATCACCATCCTCATCATCATCTCAGCTTGGACGCCAAAGACGGACAACGAGCTGCCATAGACGAGGATGCTCAATCCGATCATCCGCTTGCTACTTTGATGCCTGCTTTGACCTTAGAACCATCTGTCCCTGCGCTCGATGATCCGCCAACCAAGTCTGTTGTCTGAAACCATTCACCCCCAACTAATTTTGAGCTATTATAACTATATATATACTCTTGCTCCCTCCCTTCCTTGTAATACTCTCCTATCTGCTTAAACACGCACTCTCCCTATCAATCGCAGGCTGTCTCAGATATTCCGTGTCTACATGCACTTCTACATATATCCTTATATATACATATATGTATTCCTGACTATCGTTCACATTAGACAGCTCCGAATATCATAACAGTTCAATTTGCAATCGCGTAGCATAGATATATGTAGTAGCTCCCACCTTTTTCTGTATCCGGTCCTTTCTCACTCTCTTCGCTCACCTAGGCCTTTATTTTTCTTACCTTTATTTTTCTTGAGTTCTTCCTCCTTGGCTGATCCTGATCCACTATTCTTATTCATTTCATCATATCTTTGTCTGGTTTGTTGATCCCCCTGCTTGAAAGAGATTTCTACAAAGAAGAAATTAATTTGGTCCTTTCCTTGCCTTTGTGCATATAATAAATACTAGAATGTTGACACTATGAGTCACCTTGACATAGCTGCCTTGTGTGTTACTTGCACAACTACCAACAAAGGGGTGGACCAGCAATCTAACTTGGTAACCACTGTATAGACTCAAAGCAATGTCAAACTTCATGTGAAGTTGTCCCTTGTGTTTGTGGAGAGGTTGAGGTGGTCCTACTGGTAATCTCATCCAAAGGTTGCAAGATGTCTTGGAAGGATCAGGAAGGCAAGATTAAGGACATGTTTGATTTGATGGTAGGCAAGATTCAAGTGTTTCCATTGATCATAAACTCCTCTAACACTAATAGGTGTTGAATTCTGGATACAATGGCACATACATTTGTGATGTCATCGTAGTGTGATCTTACACAGCTTGTTGTTTTCTCACTTATTCTTCTATTCCTTGTTGACCAATGACCACTGTTCTTTATTTTATCTTTACTTTTTCTCTGTTGACCATTTACTCTTTCTCTGTTGACCATTCTCCTCAAGGAACATCTTTTGATCAACTCAAAATTCTCATTACCTTTTTCTTATTATCTTTATCAATTATCCTTAAAACCTTGGCTGCAGTACAACTCAAACCACCATTGACTACACTCTTGTGGTTTCCATTCCACCAAGGACTCTTACATCTAGGCTGACCATTAGAGGTTCTTATTTTCTCTTCTTCTAAGTTTCTCCTCATTACTGTTTACATATTTCTAACTGTCTTTTATCTTTCTAAGTCTTTCATCTTAGTCCTAGTCTCTCAACAGTTTCAATCTTCCTCTTCAAATCTTATCATCCATAGCGTGTTTCCTGTTTTATTTAGGCAACACTTTATTTCATTACTTATTTCTTTTTATTCTTCTACTGAAATTCATTTTATTTAGCCAAAACTTCTCAATAGGAAGGTGGATGCAAAGCGTAGGGCAGTTTAACTTTTCCACCTCCTCCCAAAAAGTCAAAATTTATCATGCTGGCTGACATAGTCACCAGGCCCTCATATCAAGAGTCTTGTTTTAAAAAGTCTTGACAACCCTCCAATTTACCTTGAAGGGTCTTGCACTTACTAGTGGAAAAAAAGGATGGAATTAGAGGTTATCAATTTGTTGTGAAACAATCATGTACAGTCTTTTCTCCTGTTTCTTAAATCATGACAGGTATCAAAAAACACAAAATCACTTCAAAACTTAGATTGATTGATTGTTGGTGTTTTTTTTTTCCTTGTGTCCCTTTACTTTCAGACTAACATCCTATCTAACTTTTCTCCTTCAACACAACACAACACAACACACACACATGAATTTACAGATACTTTTTTTGCCCCTTGTTTATGCACAATTTACTTTTAAAGTTAAATAGATTACCACAGATATATTCATCTATATTCGGAGTTAAGTTGTTTCATTATAACTGAATTCATTCCAGCTTTGTTCCCAAGATTTCTACAAAATTGTAGACTTATTTTTAGCATGTACACTTCTGTCACAGTGAAGCTGCTCCCTTTTCAATTGTGAATAAATTAGAGGTTGGGAAAACTGTTTTTTTGATAAACAATCATGCTGGACTCTAGTTGATGTCTCGAGGTCTGAAGGGTTTGAAATTCCTCAAAAAAAAGGGGGAAGAAGGAGAAGAATAACATTATTATTTTACACCAAGTTTTATCTTTGAACATTTACATTGATAACAATCTTGAATTGTCAAGTGTGCATAATTGAAAATGTTTATAATTGTAAAAAGCCTTGAATTGTCTGAACAAAAAAAAACTATTAGTTGAATTTTTCTGTTTATCTTGCACATGTGAACCTTTTCCAAATCAACATACTCATGAATTAAAATTGAAAATATTAGTTTTCATTGTAATGATATTGATACACAAAAATGTAGATAAATATGAGATAGACTGATTGATAAAGAAAGAAGCTCTTGATATTTTTTCAGATCATAAGATTTTTTTTCTTTTGAAAAATTGAGTAAGTAAACAATCTCAAATTTAGCCTCAAGTGATAAAATAGATCTGATGATGAAATCAATCAGAAACATCACTACTATTTATCCAGTCAGAGTATCCAAAAAAATGCTATCTCCAACAAATAATAGTCCAAGAAAAGCAGCTGTCCAATTGGAACAAAATTTTACCCTATAATACATGAAGTTTTCCAGTGCTAGAAGAATATGATTAAATGGAATTAGATGCCAATGTTCCTTTTTTTTTCTTGCACCTAGTAAACTATCTCAATTTGATCTGTTCGTATGGAGTGAAGCTCAACTGTTTCTGGATGAATTTCATTGAACTGAATCATTGGTGAGTTCTTAAGTGGCGACATTGCTGAGACACACAGACTGTGACTTTTCTGGTTCGGGTCGGCCGTCAGGTTCTGATAATTGCTAGCTGCTTTGGCGTTTTGGTGGGTAGGATCCGGTTGGGAAAGATATATCTCTGGTAAGGGTAAGGGAGGTTTCGAGAAATCCAATCTCTCTGAATCAGATGTCAAAATGGAAGCCTGAGTGGAGGGACTTGTTGGTCTTTTGGCCTCCGTTTCCTTGAATTTGAAAAATCTTTGCAGCCGAACAAAAATACCGCCGGTTGAAAAGCTCTGAGGATTTCTTTTGGCGCCTAGATTGGGGTGGGGGCCAACTATCGCCATCGTACTGCTAAACGTTTCACGATTCTGATACTGTGAGCTTATCAATCTTTCCTCTGTGTGGTCATCAGAGGATTGGGGGATTTTAGATCGCCTGGAGAGCTGAGAAACCGCCGGTGTTTGACCAAACTTGTCCGATTCTCCACTTCCAACTCGTTTCGGAGCTTTTGCAATCTTGAAAGGCTTGAAAGTAACGTGGTACCGCTTCTTCTTGAGAACTACAACAGACGCGATGATTAAAAGAAATAAGAAAATGAAAGAGACTACGAGCAGCCATAGTTGAGGAGGGTTTTTTGTTTGATCATTCTGATCATTCGATTTCAACCCAGGGCCTTGGGGTAAGGTTTGAAATTCTTGGGCATCAAACTCTTTTAAATCAGGCCGAAAATTTCTATGGGAGTCCGGGGTGGAAGTTGTAACTCGGCTGGGATTAGATTTGCTCTTATCCTGAGTTGATGGTGGCAGGGGTGGTGATACTGAAGTCGTCGGTGAGGTGATTTTTGAGGGTATTCCTTCTGAAATAACCCCTGGATGTCCAGTTATCTGCTGCTCAGTTGAGAGGTTTGCATCGCCTGTAGATGCGAGGAGCAGGTAAACATATACTTATGAGCTACTCAAGATACACATCTTAAGCTCGGAGGATTCTTATAAAATATTTCCTCACTATTTTCAAGATTGTTGTCAGCCTGACTATTGATCACAGAGCCAAAGGGTGGCGCCAGTGTTTCGGCAGGCAAGATGACTAGGGGCGGGACAGTAGCCTCGTCAAATGCCCCCGGAGGGTAGTGCGGTCGAAGGGTTACCACACCTTGCCCAACCTCATTTCCGAAGAATTCACGCTTAAAAAGAGAAGGCGACTCGCTAGCCTGATTTTGTCTGCGGGTATGTCTTTGAGCAAGCTGCCTTCTCAAGTATACGGATTGATCCTCGTCCTCGTTCGCCAGGGCAGCGGGATGCTTTGATGTGCTTTCAGGATAGGAAGACATCCAGTCGGATTTGGATCCGACGTAGCTTTCTGGTGTCTGTTTTTCCATGAGTATTTGAAGAACCTTAGCCTCACGTTTGGGTAGGCAGGGTAGTTTCTATGATATCTTCTGCGACAGGATCAAGGTCAGTTAAAATTTTACTAAATGGCTGAAGCAAGAAATATTACTTGATGCAGAAGTGTTTCCGAAACTTGTGTGGAAAATCTTTTTTAGCTATATGATCGGTGCCAATCAAGTCAACCGAAAAAACTTGCTGGGCGACTAACGAGATCTCGAGAACCATTAATTGAGCTTTGTGAGTGTAGAAGTCTCGAGAAAAGAAGAAATAAGTCCAAGCTATCAAGATTGCAGCAAGTGGTGCAGCGAATGGTACACCTCAGGCTACCTGCTTCTGCCCGATCGAATGCCGAGACGTAGGCAGCCGGGACCGAATTGTTTCCGGAACAAAATATGGTACAGTGATTAGAGGTTAAGTGCCATCTCGTATGACAAAAGACCCAAAAAAGCTAAGCTGAAAGGGAAGTACGTGTAGGTCGCCAGCCGTGAGTACAGAAAAGAAAGGACGCATATTTTGACGCAGGCTCAGCCCTTTAGTCCGAGAGCATTCGTATCAGCTTACGCTGTGCTTCGCAACTAGCTCTGGAGACCGAGGACTTCGAGATAAAATGAACAGGTTAAATACCAACACGACCAGCAGCATAACCAACGCTGGGGAATGTTATTTACATCGCTACGGCCGGGGGTCCTGCTCCTATGCTACACTGCTGCACTCGGTTAAATGGTACTGGCCGCGGATGGGTGCAGCTGGCCATCTCCGTTTCAGTAGAACCGCTCATCACATTTCAGCATGGCCATTGGCTATTTCGGTTGCTTCCAATGCGGCAAGCGCCAACGTCTCGTTCACCAGCCAATGTCTCGCATCCTTTTCTTCATCACACTGCCGATGAAAAACCAGGTAAATATCTCTGATAGCCAGAAATTGAATGGCAAATAAGAATATGTTGCACAAGTCAATGAAGCGGCGCGGCTGGCGGTAGTGTATCTGTGACAGACCCATTAAAAAAGAATCGACAAGGACATTCTATCACATGATCGCCGCGCACCTGCTCGACCTGCCAAGCCCATCTGCAACATTAGCGCCCGCCTACGATGTGCGCATATTTTGCCCTTCATTTCGCACTCGGTGACGCACAGGGGATATGTGTAAACCGTCAAGATTCAGCGCATGGAGCTTCTTGTTGGTTGCTATGGTTAGCTATGCATGTCGTTCAAGTTATCCCAAAGAGCAGAAAAAGGGCCAGATTTTCTGAGGCACTAATTTTACTTGAGTTAGAACCATTAAATGGAGGTAACAATTGTATGTAAGTGAGACTTTCCAAGTATGTATTATCAAGATAGAGGAAATTTGTGCGGAGTAAAACTCAATGGCCTCAAATGCAGAGCGGAAAATTACAACTCCCACCCGGCTACAATCTTGTACTTCAAAGAAGACTCGGTGAAATTAATTCCAATAATTGGTATAATGAAATCAATGTGGACTTAATTTCCATAAGGGAAATATTTGCTTATGATTGGGTGAGTCATTTTGCCCAAGTGCCCGAAACTTGCAAAATACAGCGTTATTTGTATCAAACTCAAGTATAACAGTCAAATCTTATGTAGTTTCAACTGAAAGGAAAAATACTGACACCAAGATCTGATGATGTGGTTTGCACTCTAAGTATGCAGGCATGTGTGTTTTGACCTGCACAGGTATGGGTATACAATAACATCAATTTCTCTTTTCTGAAGGATTCATTTGTGAATTTTCAACAAGAAAAACTCTTTGACTGGGGGCCTCAAATATCCAGACACATCACTGGGACATTCCCCAGAATTGTCCCAATTTGATATACAGGCTGTGCAGAAAGATTCCTATGGAATAGCTGAGAGTTATAAATGGTCTCTCATTTGGATTTACAGTGTTTTGTGCGTGGTGATTCAGGGCTACATTGCACTTATGGTGTGCAAAATTCCACGTGCACTATTGGCATAACAGCATGAATGGTGATTTTTTGGCTGGGATAAGTCAGTTTAAGCTCCATGCAAGCTGACAGTTCCCTGCCAAATTTGACTTTAGAAATGAAAACAGGTATTTTTTTATACCATGCATACAAGGGAAAAAGTGCCAAATGAATGTAGCACAATGTGTATTATATGTAGCTCTTAATCATTTCATGACAGCCCATATTGTCTCAATGAGACCTAAAGTTATCTGTGAGCATACTAGATGTTGACTGCACTCAGTCTCAGTCAAGTAGTTTTGTTTCAGAAAGAAGAAAAGAAACCTGCCAAGTAGATATTCTGGAAAAAGCTCACATGTACTGGGCCTCTCATTTGTGAAGAGCTTGAAAGTGGTTTTGATGGGCAGCTCATACCCATCACAAAGGTCTTATGTTCCCTCAACATGCTCTCATTCATTCAGCTCAGCCTCGAATTAGACGAGTTGCAGGGTTTATTCAGTCAAGTACGCAAAGCCATGAGCGGGAGGGACAAGAGGAACACTATGACATGACAACGCCAGAATTGAGCCAAGGCTGATTATTTAGGCAAGCTGAAATCTTCACATTCATATATGTATATGCTTTTATTTAAAAAAAAGGGGAGCCCAAGTGGGTAGAACAAGGGCTACTCTTCTACGAGGGATAGCGACTGTTGTAACAAGCTCAGTTGTGATCGATGAAAATCTTAGCGATTGTTTCTTTGAATCTATTAAGCTCGACTTGGATCGTCACTTTTTCACAAGGCGTTGGCTCCAGTGATGATCTACAAAGGGAAACATATGGATGGAGTTGAGAAGCCAATCGATGTAATAGCGTTAGAGAAACTGATGAAGGCAAAACAAAGACATACGTCGACAAGATCGTTGGTGATTTGAGATTGTCTCATTCGGTTGAACTTCATCTGTAATCCACCGATCACTGTTTGTGAGTTCGAGGTCGCATTGTCCATGGCATTTCGACGAGCCGAGATCTCGGTGGCATAGCCCTCGACAAGGGCAGTGTAGATAGCATTGGTCATGGCAAACGAGGACAAATCTTGGATTAATTGATCATCCTCAACCTCGTAAGCGGCAAATTTAGCTATTTTTATAAGAAGGAAACGAGAAAAGGGTAGATCAGTAAGCACGGATCGATATGTGAAATGAATGATTGGTGATAGCTCACGAGCCAACTTGAGGGTATCAGCGTTGTAAACCTCGACGACGGTGGATTCGTAACTCAAAGCACTGATCCATTTGTTGTGGATCAGCTTGACTTTGTCAAAATCAAGTTTCTTCTCTTCGATCAGATCGGCAATAACACAGGCATCAGCAAAGTTGGGGACTTGTTTGCCGATCTGGTTGAATGAGAGCACGATGTTCTTGGGCACAATTCGACTAAGCTGAGTTTTTGGCTTGTCCCCAACGACGACGATCTGTAGTGGTAAGATGAGTATTAAAAAAAGTGGACGTACAGCGATTGGTGTTAGTTTCAGTGGATGGTAATAAAAATAGCAGAGCGACAGAGGACTGGGAGAAGGAAGAAAGAAAGAAAACTCAACCTGTGTCTCGCTGTTCTCGCCCAGTTCAGCCCGGGTGCGCTTAGAAACGCTGGAATGAATCCCACCACATAAACCTTTATCACTGCTGACGACGACAAATAAGGTCTTCTTGGAATCAGGACCTGATGCAAGCTCCTCGGAGAGCGACGACTCCTTAAAGACGACAGCGTTGGCTTCACCGTAAGCTTTGGCATCGTTCATTGCTCGTTGGGCCTTGTTTAATTTGGTGGTGGCGATCATCTTCATCGATTTAGTGATCTGAATTTGAGGAAAACAATTTGGTGAGTGCTCGATCGCTTGAATCCCTGATGCACGTCATTGCTCACCTTGCCAATGTTTCGAACTGACTTGAGTCGGGTCTCGATCTCTTTAAGGGTTTCATTGGTGGTCGGAGTAGAACCAAACGATCGAGCAGCGTGGGGACTGGCGATCAATCGGGCAGCCCTCTGAGAAATCAAGGGTCGAGTGATTAGGGTCGATGACATCGTGGTTGCTGGATGGTCCCCTGGTTGGTGCTCGTTCTGGTCTATTGGTGAGCGGTGGAATGAACCGGAGTGGATCAAGTCAGCCGGCAAGTCGAAGTTCGGAGGGATCTGTCACTCCCGGGTATACCCCCGGGTGGAGGGGGCTGAAGGTGCACTACAATGTAGGGCCGGGTACCGGGGGTTATTTTATCTATGAATTCACCATAGGCTGACAATGTTTTGCTGCATTAATTAAGAACTGCTGGCTATGTATATGTCCTTTTTCCAATTGGATGCTGCTTGAATGCTGCTTGAATCCAAGTATTTATGTAGCACTTGAGAAGCGCAAAGAAAGGCAGATTAATGGAGTGTCATGACTGAGGACAAATGTTGGGTGTCTGGATGTAGAAAACATCCTTATAGGAATGGCTCATTCTGATGCCATATCTTTTTTGAAAATCTATAAGTATCATGGAATCTATCTTCTGGTTCATTTTATTCTCAATCCATTTCTTAGAATGGCTTGAAAATGTTTGGATTCAAGGAGAGAATGAATTGTTGGTGTGATTTTTTGTAGGATACATATACACTCACTAATTTTGCTCATTCATTCAGCTGGCTTTTTCCCCCAGTTCAACATGAAAAAGCCCTTCAAAAGAAAGAGTGATTGCCCTCATTCTCTTTTAACGCATTATTCCTCAAACCTCCCTGCAGAATCAGACTCTTAGTTTACCAGAGAAAGTAGCACAAGAGTTTGAGCCAAGATGAGCTTGAGATAGAAGATTAATTCTGATTTGATCTGAGTATTTACTACCCATGGCTTGAATTTGATGAGGCGGTTTGCATGTTTGTTGGCTGAAGAGAGGAATAAACTTATTAGGGTTTAGCTGGCTGCGGGAACTTGAGGTGACATGTGAGGAAGGACTGACTGACCAGCACAGCAGCAGTACAGCACACCACCCACCAACCAACTCGAACCACAAAGACCCGGTCAACAGACTCATCCACATACATCCATACCCAACCGCCGCTCAACAGCCAAGGAAAGAGACAGCTTATAACTCACAGGATGGCTGAAGAACTCAACAACCCACCAGTCGAACAGGCAGAGGAACCACTCTTCGACGCAACACTCAAGAAGAAGAAGAAGAAAAAGGCAGTCGCATTCGATGAACTGTTAGTCTGCTTCCTTCTCCCCAGACTTCCCAGATCGATGACGGTCAACCAAAGTATAATAATATACATTCATTTGATTCGTCCAGGGATTCACAACTAGACAATGCAGCCGAGCAGCCTACCTCGATCACCACTTCCAAGACTGAAGAGCCTGTCTCGATCTTGAAAACAACAGAAGCCGAACCAAGCTCAAAAGCTCCCGAACCTGCTGCGAGCGGCGATTTAGATTTCAGCGATCTCAAACGGAAAAAGAAGAAGAAAACAGTCACCTTGGACCTCGATGAGGACGAGCTGAACGTGGCTGATGAGAAGGATAAATCGGCCAGCACTGCGACTGCTGCCGAAGATGCTGCTGCTGCTGAAGAATTTGCTGGTCGGTCACTCCCCCCTATTTGCAATGAGCATGAAAAAAAAAAGTTGACAATCGAAGGTTTATGAATGACCTGTTTGGCTAACGTTATCTGATTCTCTCTCGATCACCATCGGAACAGACTTGAAAAAGAAGAAGAAAAACCAAAAGAAAGCGTTCGATCTAGAAGCATTCGAACGTGAGCTAGCTGAAGTCGAGGGTGGGATCAACAAATCTGAAGCCAAGGAAGGCGATCCATCAGGTGCTGATGGTGACGACCCACCTGAGGATGGCCTCTTTGGCCAAGCCGATGACGAGGCTATCGGCGAGAGCGAAAAGAGTAAAGCCCAGATGGCTGCCGAGAAGAAGGCTTGGTTGAAGGAACCCGATCGTGATTACACTTATGATGAGGTTCACTATTCTTCTTTTCTCACAAAACATCTGGCTCATAATTGAAATCAGCTCACCGGAAGGCTGATCGATGTCTGAATGATCTCTCTATCACAGCTTCTGGGTCGTTTCTACCAAGCCCTTTACCTCTCTCATCCTTCCTTATCCGGTGGTGGTGCTAAGAAGCGATACACCCTTGCACCGCCCTCAGTTCATCGAGAAGGTAACAAGCGATCGATCTGGGCAAACGTGGCCGAGATCTGCAAAAAAATGCACCGACAACCGGAACATGTGATCCAGTTCTTGTTTGCTGAATTGGGTACGAGTGGTAGTGTCGACGGTAACGGGAACTTGGTCATCAAAGGTCGCTTTCAACAAAAACAGATCGAAAACGTTTTACGTCGTTATATTGGTACACACCCTGTTCTTGACTTCATTTGCTTAACCGCAGGATTAGACAAGCTGACTGACGATTTTTGGTATTCTAGTCGAATACGTGACTTGTAAGACATGTAAATCACCAGATACTTTGTTGGAGAAAGACAATCGATTGTATTTCGTAACCTGTGAATCGTGCGGTTCCAAGCGATCAGTATCAGCCATCAAGACCGGTTTCTCAGCCCAAATCGGAAAGAGAAAATCTCAAAGAGCAAATTAGTTTATTTACTTTTTTTTTGCTTTTCTTACTTTTTTTCACCTTGGGAAAGAATTTTTCTTCGATCTTCTTTCTCTTGTTTCTCATTGGTAATACAACTGGTCCCTTATTCAATCCAACCATGATTGTCTCAGTTGTATTCATATTGTTTTTCCTAAGTTATTTTTTTGAATGTTAATATAATTTGCATATAGTTATATATGAAATTTATATTAGTATTGTTTTTTTTCCCGACTATGTTGGTTGAGATTGAAGAAAGAGTGAACCAGAGATGTGTAGCAGTAGATGTCTGGAATTAAGTAATGGTATGACCATGTACGTTTCGTCTCTGCATTGATGAATTAAACATTTTGGGACTAAGGGGGACCTTCACGAACAATACGCTCATAATCGTGCTCATCTACGTATACAGATGCAACCCGCGTGCTATTGGGTCTCGCAATCACTGCGTCTGCTCAAGCTGACGCAATCAGGGTCCTGAGTAGAACACAATCCAGCTGCTATTAAGCTTCTAGATGGATACTTATAGCAATCTCTATTGACATGTCTCATAAATCATACAATCTACAATGTAAAATCTGCTTATACATACCAAGAAAACGAAGCGAAAAGAAGAACAAAAAAATTACTTCCACTTCTTTGGTCAAATGATTGAACCTAAATAAGCAGCAGACAAGCACAAAAACAGCCATGATAATAATAGTTAAACTTAAAGTCGAACGAATCCATTACATTTTGCTTATGCTTTATGATCTTGCTCAAATCTGAGGCTATAATTCCCTAACTGGCGTTTGATTGTGGTAGCATGTGAGATGACTTCTTTAGGCAGACCGACCAATTTAGCAATATCTATTCCACTCGAATCCGGATTCAACCCTCGTTGGATTCGGTAAGGAAAATTTAGAATTTCTTCCTGCTTGCCTTTCTTCCCATCGCCATGCTGAACATTTTTTTTTTGGTAATGATTAGGGCCATCATTTCATTTCACAATTGTATCGGTGTTCATAACAAGAAGGAGAAACATCAGAACTGTTTTTTTATTGTAGTACTCATTGGACACGAGCGATGAGACGATGAAGCTACTTACAATCTTGGAAGAGCCAAAACAGAAGAATCCAAGTTTGGCGATCTTCAAATATTCTTTGGCTTTGAGTCCATCCAGATTAGCATTACTGCTACTACTAACATTTGTACCCATATCTTTCCTAAGCAATAATGATCCCACGTGAGGTAAATGTGTTGAAAATAGCGTTCTGCACTGATTTTTCTCGATCAGATACTTAAGCACTCCGTACGCGATCGATAGTCCATCTTCGATCCCAGTTCCTCTACCCACTTCATCCATTAAAACCTAATTTTGTCCAAGAACCCCAAGCGGAAATCAAAGATCAAATACGCAGCTCAAATGATTCCTGGATCGCAGTTTTTCTCATATTTGGGTTTGTGAACTGACCAGAGACATTTCATCAGCAGATTTCAAAATCTTACAGGTTTCTTCCATTTCGATCAAGAAGGTACCTTTTCCGAGCACGACGTTATCAAACGAACCGAAGCGGGTAAAGATTTGATGAACGAGTCCTAATTTAGCTTTCTCGGCGGGCACAAAGCTTCCAGCTTGGGCCAGGATATGCATGATCGCCAGTTGTCGTAGATAAGTCGACTGAGTGAGGGTAAAGTTTGTTAAGGTGTACATTTTCAACAAAAATCGAGTCATTAATGCGAGAATAATTCAAAGAATGCTCATACCTTTCCTCCATTATTGGGGCCAGTGATAATCTGAACAAGACCATCATTATCATGCATCACAATCGAGTTGGGTATAAAACTTCCATTTGCACTTGAAGAGAGAGCCCGCTCAGCAATCGGATGTCGACCATTGACAATGGCTGTACTTCGTCTGATGAACAGGATTTTGAAGTTTACTGGGGTCAGAGTTTGTTACGCGCGCATGGTCATAGTTGATGGCGAGAGCAATCTTACTTCGAATTGATCGATGGTCGCACGCAATTTGTTTCCACCGCAAATGTAGCAAAGCTTTGGGCGACATCCAACTCGGCAAGGTCGTGGAACGATGGGTTTAAAGTGACATGATCCGATGCGACCTAAGAATTCAAAACTTTAATTGTTCAATCACTTTGGTTTTAATTATCTGAACAACAAGAGTCGCAGCATAAATGCATTCTTTTTTCAAGTGTATAGTTTCGAGGCTCGGGAAGTATTCACCTGTTCGAATAATCTTTTTAAGACTCGCTGTTCCGCCTGTACTAATTCCTGCCTCAGCTTTTCGATTGAAGCGTGCATCTTCGTCCAATCCTGGGATCCAGATAAACGATTTTTGATCAGTTATCATGCGCTCAACTCTACTTTTTTTTTCTAAGCCCACCGGAACAGCTACCACGACACGCGAGCCGTTGTCAATGAGTGTTTGGCCCTTGAGGTTGTCCAACTTGCTCTTCAACTCGCTGCTCGGCTTTCGGGCCTTGTTGACAATCAGCACGGCGCCCAGTTTGGGCACAACTTGCAATTTTAAATCCTTGGAATCTGGGTGCGATTTATGCAGGTGATAGTTGAAATGGATCACAGTTGGAACAATTCAGCTGAGTATGCTGATGGACTATCATTTGAGACAGCTGTACAAACTTACTAAAATCATTGCGATATTTGGCCTGAAGCTCTTTTCCTTTTTCCATCAAAGCTGTGAACCTTTGGTGCATAGAGCTTAATTCTTTGTTGAGACTATTGGAGTAAGTCGGTCAACGGCTCCTGGATTCTGCATATTCAAGTTGAAGGGTCTTACTCAGAACGTACATTCCAACTAGCAGGAGAGAAAAAGTCTTTGGCTTCCTCAATCGAGGCTTCTTCAGATGCGATCTGACCGTGCGCTGGCGTAAGTTCATCTATGGCTTTTGATATATTTTCTTCAAGAGCAAGGTGACACCCCAATCGAGACGGAATACCTAAATCACTGAGAGTAGAACTGATTGTTTTGATGGCCTTCAGGATTCTGACAATCGACATCAAATCTTGAATTGACCCTTGCCCTAGATTGAATCTTTGCAATAATCTGACATAATCAATCTCTTCAATATCTTTCAACGTATCTTGTATGTCTTCTCTCGAGATATGATTTACAACAAGTTTCCCTACTAGATCCAACCTAGATTGAATTTCGGCTGGAACTCGACTTGGACTCACTGTACTTGGATTAAAGCCATATGAGCAGTCACATCAAGATTAGCGTTTATGATAACTCCGTAGGATAAAATTATCTTCCCTTAGAGGATTTGAATACCAAGCATGAGTAGTTTCAACTGTGACTCAACTGATTCGATCGCGAAGTAACCTTTTTCCAGGTCGGGTAATTGTCCGCGAGATGGTCGAGAGTAAACTACCAGCTGCGCTCTTCCCATTCTGAGTGCGGATGATCTCCAAGCTATCAATAGCCTCGGCATCCAACTTCAGATGTCGGAAAGTGTCAACACATAATGGTTGGATCGCCGCTCGCGAAGGCAAGAGGTTTCGCTTGATGTAAATTCCAATTAATTTTTCGGCTGACAACTCATCTGGTGAGATTGACTAAAGATTGGGAAAGGAGGCAAATTCAATAAACCGTCAGAGTGGCTCTTCGAATGATTTTGTGATGGAAACGGGTTGATAGAAAGGGCGTACGGCATCAGATTTGATTTTCGTGATCAACATTGAGAGCTTGGCAGCCTTGGAATTGGGAGGAATACGAAACGAGCTGTCGGCTGATATTAGAATTTCTTTAGGTGAGATCCGACAGATTTGATCCAGTAATTCACTTTCTCCGCCCTCGCAGGTCGTCGAGAAATAACTGCCGGTAGATACATCCAACCAAGCTAACTGATTTTGGTGAATGCCTAACAAGTAGTTGTACGACTCGTCATCGATCAAATTCTCATCGGTGATAGTACCAGGAGTGATGATGCGAACAATCCTTCTTTCGAGCTCCTCGTCAGTTGAGATTTGTTCTGCAATCGCTACGATTCGATTATGCTCATTGACTAGAGTTTTGAGATGTTTTTGGAGCGAGGCAATAGGAAATCCCGAAAAAGGGTAAGTTTTTCCAGCAAATTGATATTGAGCTTGTTTAATATTTAAAAGTTGTGCCACTTCTACAGCCTGATCGAAGTAGGCCTTTGATAAGATGACAATTCATAATCAGCAATCAATCATCCCGACAGCAAAATAGGTTTGGAGCTTGAAGAGTAAATCATCCAATCAAACGTGAATTGCTCAACTTCATAGAATGATCCGACACATGTCAGCAAGATGGCATCGGGAAATCTTAGCCGACTATCTAAAATGAATTTTGCAATCTTCTTTGTGTACATTGATGGATTTTGAGAGGGGGGAGAACCAATCGTTACAAATTGATCGAATTTAATCAGATCAGAATCAATAGTAGTAATGGCCTTCTCTTCTACTTAAGAAAATGACGTGTGTTATTAGTTCCACAAAATAAAAAACGATCCCAGAAAACGGCTTGTTTACCTTGGCTTCTTATTGTCTTGGGGAGGGGTAGTGGTTTCAGACTTTGAGCCACTTCGGGTTTGACAGCTTGGGAGGTTGCTTCCTCGGTTGTCGATGGAGTGTTACTGGCCTTTTTTTTTGAAAAAAAGCAGTCAGTATTCTAAACAATTTTGAAAGGCAGGCACGCCAGATGAAAAAAGAACATTGGAAGGAAAGCCAATGATATTTTTGATAAATGAGCAGGAAGCTGGATACAGATTCTCTAGAAGATGCGACACCGTGAGCTCAAAAGGCTTCTATGAAGAGAGCCAGCTTATCAATGGGTGTGAGTTTGCAAGTGCAAAGAAAGTGAGAGAAAAGTGGTGTGAGTGGGCGAAGAATCTTTGCTTACCTTTGCCGTTGAGCTCTTGGTCACCTTTGATTGATCCTCAACCGCCTTCTGTGGATTCTGGGTCTCCTTCGGTTGATCCTGCAGCGCCGTATGTGGATTCTTGGCCTCCTTTGGTTGATTCTTGGTTTCTTTCGGTTGATTCTTGGTCTCCTTCGGTTGATTCTGGGTCTTCTTCGGTTGATTTTTGGTCTTCTTCGGTTGATTCTCGGTCTTCTTCGGTTGATTCTTGGCCGCTTTCTGTTGAATCTTGGCCACCTTCGGTTGATTCTCGGCCGCCTTCTGTTGGTTCTTAGTCGCCATCTTGGGTTGATTCTTGGCCGCGTTCTGTTGATTCTTAGTCTCCTCCTTGAGTTGATTCTTGGCCGCCTCCTGTTGATTCTTAGTCGCCTCCTGTTGATTCTTAGTCGCCTCCTTGGATTGATTCTTGACCGCCTTCTGCTGATTCTTAGTCTCCTCCTTGGGTTGATTCTCGGTCTTCTTCGGTTGATTCTCGGTCTTCTTCGGTTGATTCTTGGTCTTCTTCGGTTGATTGTTGGCCGCTTTCTGTTGATTCTTAGTCTCCTCCTTGGATTGATTATTGGCCGCCGTTTGTTGATTCTTGGTCACCTTCTGCAGATCCTCACTAGTCGACGCCGCTTTGTCGCCACCATCTTTGGGGCTGGTCAAGCTCTCAGAGGAATCCGTTTTGTCTGGGGGAAGTTCTTTTGTTTCCTGTTCACTACTTTTAACATCCTCGGTCTTTTCCTTGGCTTTGCTCGGCTTGGTCTTCTGAACTTTTTCTTCGATCGGTTTGATGTCCTGTTAATTCAGGCGCACTCAATCATAATTAGATTCTTGAAATTCACAGCCAAATCAAACAAAAGCTCTCCAGACTGACTTACCTTTTCGATAGTTTGAATAGACTTGGTCGATTCGTCACTAAGGATCGCGCTCGTGGTGGTCGTCGTGGTGGTCGTCGTCGTCGTACTCGTCGAAGCTAAGGAGCGAAGAAGTGATTGGTTGATGGTAAGTCTTGATGAGTGTCGAAGAATCCGAGTCAGGAAGATGGTGGTTGCTGCCATCTTGGAGTGGGTGGTCATCCATCCATCTCCTCAACAGGGAGCACCAAAGACCCTTGGCGGATTCAATCCGGATCCCGTGGTTGGCCGGATAGTTTGGATGTGACGGCACCACTCAAGCTCGATCGACCATAACTTTCCTCGTGTTAATGTAGCATCAAGTCTACATAAATTCGATGAGATACATAGACCATCCCCGAAGGATTCTGTCTCCGATGGCAACATTCCAGTCAAGCAATCAAGAACAGATCGATCGCCAGCTGGTTTCAGCATCAGCTAAAAACACCTCATCAATGTCATCGCCTCAGAATCAAGCGCTCTATCGCGTTCACGCGTAACTCTTTCTTTTGCAACGCGGCTCCTCTGCAGGCACACCCTCCACCTCAATGGTACTTCACTTCATACTATGTACTCCGGCTTACGCCCTGCTCAATTCGGGCTTGCATGATTGTTCCGAATTCTCAACTTCAGTCAAGAGACGGGAGAAATTCCCTATGAAGTACAAAATAACAGCTCGCCGTTCATCGGGCTTAAGCTTGGTATGAGCCACAAGGAAGCGGATATATCCGTGTTGTAATCTACATAGTGCTTACTTCCAAAGAACATTTTTCTAATAAACACTTGAGCTGAACGCTCATAGTCAAGTCACATCTACAATACGGCGCTAGTTATTGATTATCTTTATATTCATTACATATTCAATAGTGGGCAATACACCATTTTCTCTACTGGAACGGATTTCGCGCTTCGATTTAAAGGCAGATAGACTAGGGAGTAGTGGCAAACTGAGCTCACACTTGTTGGGCGAACCGAGTGGATAGGAACCTCAGCGGAGCATCATCCGATGTGGGCCGACAGCATCGGAATAGTCAGATGAACTTGAAATCGAACAAGCGTGGGTGTAGCAATCGATCAAGAGACTCAAAATCTGATGCCATGGAGTTTGGAATAATCAAATCCCTCGACTGAATTGTTGTAGTGTGAGTGAGGTTTTCGCCTTTCGCAATGTTTCTAATCGCCCGTAACGGCGTAAACATATCGTGCAAAATCAAATGTGTTGTTTGTCACCTTGTTCTGCATAGCTATTTTCATTTTTTTTTTTTTTGAAAATCCACATGCTTTGATAACATAAATGGAGCGCATGTTATCTTATCTGGAGCTTACTCTTGAAGTTTGATAAGCTAGATCAGGCTGTAAATGAAAACCATACCGATATATACCTCGCAGAAGCCGATAAGAAATCATCATGAGTGCAAGCATTAGATGAGGAAAGCGTCGAGAACAAATTGATGAAAATCTCAGACTTCTACATGCTATTTGTGCATATGTTGAGGTTCAATGTTCATCAGCCCCCGGCATGCAATGTGCTTGAACGCCAGTGGCACACTGAGATGACGTGACAAGGGGTGCAGGGCCACAAGGAGTCGCGCCACCCAAAGGGTAAAAATCAGCTGGAACTTCCAAAGCCAGGTCCTCCAACGATGTCTGGGCAGGTCTGGACCCTAACTTAACCAAGTCCCTCTCATCGGAGGGGGGACGCCGTTGCGACCAGTGGTTTACCACTCCGACCAAAGGAGGGCAGGGACTTAGATAAGTTAGGTCTGGACCTCTGTCTTCAACGAGTGCATTATAAATTATAATGTAAATGTACAAGCGCACACATGGATACACGTGTTAATAACGCCGGTGTGGGTTGACAGGCAGAAATGACCGTCTTAAATTGTTGGGCACTGGTCCCGATTCCTAATCTTATCTCTAGTAGTAAACAGCAAGTGACTTTTTGCGAACTCTTTCTGTGTCAGCAATAGCTATAAAAGAACCGTCAAATCTAGGTTTCCGATCGACCACCCGTCAGGAGACAAATCTCACCGGTGCCACCTCCCACGTAGAACTCGTCTTTATTGCTTATTTTCCTAGCATAGTCCTCTCAAACCAGATCACTAAATTATTGGCTTAAATTTATCTACCACGCATCTCTTCCGCCTCTTAGTTATTACCGCATTTACTATCATGCCTTTCCAGAAAAGTCTACTTCTCGCTCTCCTCACAGCCTCGCTGGCCTTGGGTCGCACTGTTGTTAACTTGGATCACGGGACGGGAGCCATTCTGCACGAAAGAAGTGTCGTACCATTATTGAAAGACCCTTCCTATCGACCTCTTAAAGTGAGTATTCCGCTCATTCGAATTAAATCGACTATCTCGCCTGCCTCGTGCTTCCGCCTGTTTTGAATGATTGCTGATCACGCGCAAGGACTGGGTTGATGATCAGACTGACGATGGAATGACCCAAAGCAAATTCCGAAACTCGGTACCTGAGAATGAGCACCCCAAGAAAAAGAAGAAGAGGTCCCCGCAAAACGCAAACTTGGCGAAGGAAGAAGGAAATGCGATTTCTGATCAACGGAAGATCAGAGTGTATAATGGAGAAAAAGGCCATCCTAACTTTCGAAAGATGAATCATGCCAACCCTCTTCTAGGCCCTGGCCATCATCACATTTACCATTTGGACTCAACCTCAAGCGGCTTCGAAATGGCACCCATCCCTCACAATGGCCGTAAGACACCTCTCGTCATCAGGTCTGAAAACTCTCCAGCTCCCTTTCCAGGAACCTTCGCCGCCGCCGCACGGGATGATGAGTTGTATCTTCCAGACTCCGCAAGGGATACGCATGGTGATCACCACCACCACCGTTCATGACCCACACCTGTTTAAAGGGATGTAAACCCTGACGCTGGCTCAGCGGCCAATGGCGAACGCGTCTTCGAGGAGAGCGGTACCGAAATTTAAACCCTCTGCAATTGCGGGCCATGGCACGGTTTAAATATCAACATGAATAGATAGATTTCCACGCTCGTATTTGTTATCTTCAATTACAACAGGATAGACCTATTGTAGTCTTTAAAGCTCAATTTCACCAGGATACGACATAGATTGCTCTCTTCTTTTGTATCAACTTATCTTACACATACACATTATGCTTTCCTTTCACAATGCTGCTGATGTTCGAGATCATCAGACTTGATAACAATTCATTTTTCTTCAACAAATCATCATTTTTTCTTTGCCATTGGCAGCAGATTTGACTAAGACATGCTATAGAACGACCTAAAAGCCCGCGCACCATGATAGCATTTGGATCAAGATTATAGTTTTTATAAATTAATGTCCATGTGTCGTGAGCGCATGCTTCCATTTGCAAACATTGAGAAAGAGTGAGTGGGTGAGCAGTTGATGTTTGAATGTCTCAGTTCTCGTTTCTGGGATGGCTCAGAATATATCTGCCTGAGTGCAAAAATCTAATCTAAAAGCTTGCTTGATCAGATGATTTCAAAATATGGTGGTTTCAACAAGATTCAGTTCTTTAAAATACGGATTATGGGGAAAAAGATAGTTACACCGAATCTTTTTTTTCCTTTCTTTGCTGCATGATGAATCACAGTTGTGAGTCGAGACCATCAAGCATTGGCTTTGGTGAGCTTATGTACTCTGCTGATGAAGACATGGTCCTTTAATCCATTTGTTTATTTTTTGGAGAATGTCGAAATCCTTGGTGAGCAATAATACCAGGGAGACATGACCTCCTCTCTTGCGTCCGTGTTCCCTATCAAAAAGTTTTACTTCCTGCCGTTTGTTGGGATTTACATCGCCATTCACCCTTGTAAGCTGTACAGTTGAGTGGATGGAGCACAAGAGTTGAGTCACCTGAGCTCATGTACAACCGTATGAACACCGCTAGACTACGGAAGCCCATAGGGGACTCCAATCGGCTCACGCTTTTGAAAAATGAAAAGTGAAAAATGAAAATACAGAATTCTGTATTCCATTTAAAATACAGATATCTGTATTTCCACATTCTGAAATGTGAAAAAAAACTATGATTAATACGTGTCGGAAATGGATAATCACATATCGGAAACGTATAGTTGTCATCCCGGCCAACCAATACTGCATCGGCTCGGAAAGGTCCAACTTCCGGGGACCGGTCCTTCCGGGCGGATGCTGTTTCAAGACCTGCAAACAGGTTAAGGTTCCGACCCGGTGCCTCGGATCCGGGTTTCACCCATCCCGCAGCCGAACCCGGCGGGTATCCGGCCCTGGGCCGGGTTTTACCGGATCTTGTAGATAATTTGAAATGTGCAAGAGCAGGGTGTTAGTGGGGGACGTGACTTGACTTTCCCAAGTCTTTTCTGTTGTCCATTCACCCCACTTCGGCAATAATCTCTTCTTGCAGCCTACTGCCAGGCTCCAGCCACCAATATCATGCCAACTCGACCGCGTTCCCCCTCCGAATCCAGCGACTCAGTGATTGAAGCAAGTGGTTCAACTCATGCCGAAAATTCAACTCAAGAAGGTCGGTCTTCTTGGGTATGGCAGTACTTCAAGCCTCGAAAGATCAATGGACAGATGTGGCACGTTTGCCAGGCATCAAAAGTACCTAAAGGCAACACTATATGCCTTGCGAAGATCAAGCCGGACAAACGAGGCTCTACCAAAAGCATGATCAATCATCTGTCCAACCTACACGGCATCAAAAAGAATAACGCGCGTGAAGTTGGATCTCTCGTGAAGTTCCTTGAAAAGAGCGAACCGGTGTCAAAGAAGAAGCTCGATAGGGACAGCTTATTATGTGCTATAGGTCGATTCGTTGTCAAGTCCCACATCTCTTACCAGACTATTGAACATACGGAGTTCATTAATTTGTTGGAGCTTTGCAACCCTGCCACGAAGTCTCTCTTACCTTCGGCGGACACCCTAGCTAGCTTTATCTTGAAGACATTCCTGAACGGCCAAGAAGCTCTTAAATCTATGTTCAAAAAAGTGACTTCCAAAATCAGCTTGACTTGCGATGGTTGGACCTCACCTGGAAACGATTCGGTACTTGGAATTACGGCCCACTGGATTCAAAACTACGAGCTTAAATCAGTGATCTTAGCGGTGAAAATAATCGATGGTACACACTCCGGAGCGAACTTGGCGTCTCATCTTGCCGAAGTCCTTGAAGTTTTTGGAATCACCCAAAAGATTTTTTGTATCACGGCTGACAACGCTTCAAATAATATAACAATGGGGCAGGAGCTCAATTCTCTTATCAATTTCGATATGAGAATTGCATGCTTGGATGTATGCCACATGTATCAACTTAGCAGCTAAAGCCGGTATCAAGGCCTCTCAGAGGCCACTCCTCAAGAAAATCCTCGTTCTAGCCTTCATGACATCCTCATCGATTCGCCTCCTCAAGTAAATATGAGCACTCTCATCTCTCGGATTAGCAAGTTAGCCACTTACTTGAAACAATCAACTCAAAAAGCGGCTGAATTCGAAAACCTCAGCAAGGCCTTAAATGGAAAGAAACTCGTCATGGTTGCTGATGTGTCGACCCGTTGGAATTCGACGTTCGCAATGCTTGAACGGGCTTACCAAATCCGAGAGACGATCCGAATTTTTTGTCAAAGAAACTCATTGTCAGAAAAGTACAATCTTTCAGAATACGAGTGGCAAAAGGTTCAACAGCTTTGCGTCTTCCTTGAGCCTCTCTACAAAGCGACTAAGATGATGTCCTCAAGTAACTACGTTTCGATGATGCTAGCGGCGCCAGTCTACAAATGGTTGATCGAAGCAGTAGATAAGGTAAATTCTCAAGCGGCTCCATCACACTATCCTGATTCCTCCACTGACATCCTCTTACAATTTATGAACATCAGGCACGATTGAGATATGATGCACAGGAGTTGATTCCAGCTTCAACCAAGGTTGTTGCCAAATTAAATCAATACTTTGAACAGGCCGTTAACAAGCCGGTCTATCTCTGCTCATCTCTACTCGATCCTCGGATAAAAACAAATGTCTTAAGTAGTAATGTCCTCGATCTCATCAACATGAACTGGGAGGAAGTCCTTCAAATGTTCAAAGATACTGCAAAGGATTTTGAGGCCTCTTGTTACAGCAATCACCAGCCTCCGAGAAGGATAATAACACCTGCGATGACGAGTCAATCAGCTCAGCCTTGTTCAAAAAGAAAAAAATCAAGATAACTTCACTACAAGACGAAGTTTCAGTATACCTCGACTCCGAATGTGAAGAAGAGGGTTGTCAGCCACTACATTACTGGAAGTGCAACTCCAAACGATTTCCAACCTTGGCTGTGATGGCTCAGACCTACTTAGCTGTCTCTGCATCTAGTACTCCCTGCGAACGAGCTTTCTCAATCGGCCGACACGTTCAGGATTATAGCCGAAACCGAATGAAGTGTAAAACTCTTGAATCAATTATTTGTTTACAAAACTGGATCAACGATTCCCTGATCAACATTCATGACACTGCCAACTTGGTGTCTACTTAGATATACATGTCGCTTCATTTTGAATCACCTCCGTTATGCCTCTCTTTTTGAATCAACTGATCACTTTTACTCTCTCTTTTTGAATCAACCAATCGTTTTTACGTGTATCTACAATCCTACATACATAATTACCTGCCCATCACTCTGAATCTCTGGTCAGAGACTGATCCGAGCGCCACAAAGGCCAAAAAGTAATGACAACCGAAGCAGGTCTCCTCTCTTTGCTACCAGTGCCCCCACACACCAGGAAACACCATCAGGGACTTGGTATCCGACCGGATACCGGGTTCCTAAATCCCAGTCCCGAACCCTGAACCCGTCCGCGGGTTGGCCGGATTCTTCCGGATTTGCGGGGTCCGGGTCGGAACCTTAAAACAGGTTGTCTCCAAGGTGAGTCCACTTCCTTGAAGTTGAACCAGCCATTGAAGGCAGTTGACCAAGGTCCAAGTCTGACCGGCGCTCAAAGGGAGTACACATGCATACAGCCGCCTTCATTGATCTCAGACTCGGTGATCAAAGGGAATTGTCACTCCCTTTAGATCACCGGTCAGAATCTGTCATTGAAGGCAGTGTGTAAGCCCCTCAATGACAGATTCTGACCGGTCATTGGTGGTCATCCAGCGGAGTGCATACCAGTCCCCTCCCTTCGAGGAGCGGTCTGTGGTGTGTTTCCTGTTGACGAGCCGTTCAGAACCGGCCATCAAATGGAATGAGTAATCCTGTTGATGACCGTTCAGAGCTGGGCATCAAGGCGAGTAGGTATTCCCCTTCATGACCAGTTCTGAGCGTTCATGGTGGGGAGCACTTACGTGTCTCAATGACCAGTTCTGAACGGTCATCGAGAGGAGTGGATACTCCTCTCAACGACTAGTTCTGACCAGTCATCAAGGGAGTGCTCATTCGCTTCGATAACTGGATGACCGGTCATCTCTGATTAGTCGGAGACTGGAGTGGACACTCCTTTACCATCTGACAGCAGGTCATTCTGTACCGATCAACCAGCACCGGTCCAGGAGGCGTTAACCTCCCGGGCCGGCCTGTGCTGGGCTGATCGTTGACTCTTGTGTTGACATTTTCTATGTGCTGTTTTCGTTATGCACTTCTGATTTGGCTTAACCGATAGTGATGTTTCACATTTTAGAATGTGGAAATACAGAAATCTGTCTTTTAAATGGAATACAGAATTCTGTATTTTCATTTTTCACTTTTCATTTTTCAAAAGCGTGAGCCGATTGGAGTCCCCTATGGGCTTCCGTACTAGACCCTGCCAGACCCCTCGGATCCATAGCTTCCATACATACACGCTTTGAGAGGTTTGAAGAGGCTTGCACTGCTTCTCATTCTGGTCATGTGCCCTTCACATGAGTGTCTTGCACTGCATTTGTACAAGTACAGGACCCAGATTCCACGCAACATGATTCTACTTGCAACCCGCACGTGTTACATAACAAACACCTTATAAGCAGCTTGCTGCTTGCTTGCCCAACTTGCATCCCGGCATCAGTCACCTCAACATCATCAACAATCCATCATGGCTTTCCAGAAAATCCTACTTGTAGCTCTCCTCATAGCATCGGTGGCATTTGGCCGCTCCCTTGTCAACTTGAATCGAGGGTTGGACATTGCGTTACACAAGAGAAGTCTTCCGGCCGTTGATGACTTCCATCACAGATCCCTACAAGTCAGTCTTTAATAACTAGAACAACGATTCACTTGAGCTTTTCATCGAGATGGAACCACAATTGACTGACCTCGCTCCCTCGATTGTTGCTTTGGATACCGGTTCGAAGAGAAGAGACTCGATTCCTACCCAAGGAAAGGAAGGAGCCGAGGAACAAAAAGAACAGGCCAATCAACACGGTGACTTGAAGACTGGCGCGCTGAAAACGTCGGAAAACGTCGTGGCTGGTTCCCAAGATCCCAACAACGTTGGCTCAAAACAGAACAATCAATACGGGGACAACAAAGTACATTCGGTTACTTTTCTTCCTACTCCAGGACATCACGAGGACGGTCCTTAATCAGAAGGAGTTCGGCTCCGAAATGAGGAGGAAATGCGGCTTCATGTCAAGATGCATCAGTAGTTTGAACCCGGCCTGCAGAAAAGTCTATCCATGACATTGAAGGATTTCACCAACTTGTTTCCTTTCAACTTATGAAATAAATTATTGCGCCCTTTTCACGGAATCATTTTCAAGACATATTCTTCTTTCTTTTACTGCTGTTGCTGCAACTGCATGTTGTCATTCTTGCCTTTAGCGCGATAAGTCCCTGTGCTTGTCTTTTGAAGTGGTAAACCACTTGTTGCATTGGGGCAACCGGACCTCCTTTGGAGGGTCCCTGCGGGACAGCGTCCCCCCTTTAATGAGAGGGACTTCGTTAGTTGGGTTTTACAAGCTTAAGGAACCTTAAGGAACCCTCTTGTGGTGATAGTGCTGTGTGGGCAGGCCTTAGTGGCAGCCTGGTCTCACCAGAGAAGCTTATACTTAAAAACTCAAAGTTGGCCTGATAAGGATGCAATTTGGAGGCCCTTTTTCACAATTTCTCCTTTGGATTCCCCATCTCTTGTCTTAAAATCCTGTTGTCCTTTTTCACATACATTCCCTTCCATCTTGTTCATTTTTCTGTGTTTTTATATATTTTGGTGCCATTTTTTTTGAAAAAAAGAAATGAAACTTTTCATGTTGCAGGAATGAGATATGCTTATAGTGGGATTGTGCTTGAGGCTGAGCCAAATTTGCAAATCAAAGTTCAAAATCATGAACTTCAATCCATTTTTTTGCTAGAATCAAGCAGATTTTTGTAATGATAAAAACAGGAAACATCCAGAATATGCAGATCTTCAATCCATCAGATTCTAGAAAGAATGTGAAAAGTATTGAAGGTCAGTCTTTAGGCCAGCTTGACTGGTTGTAAGGCTGATAAAAATGGACTCAGGTTGAAATTTTCACCAAATATTTCCTAGTGCATTTCCAAAAATTTTGTAAGGCACACCTTTCAATTGGTAACCATAAAACCATGGGGTGTTCCATTATTCCCTTTTTTCATCAATGAAACACTCCATTAAAATCTTCAACATCTATATATAGCCTAAAGACCAATGATACAATTTTCTGAGTCAGAATCTGGCCTATGACATTGCACACTATGAATCTCAGTGACAACATGTCCATAATTTGGCCTGTCAATAAGGTATCAAATGGGTATTTTTGGGTCTAGAAGAAATCAAACATAACAAAAGGAACTCTGCGTGTCGATTTTAATCTTGTGTAGACTAGAAGGTACTTGATCAAATTGGAGCAGGCCTTCTGAAATTAGGCTGTGGCTACATACAACACTGGGTCACTACTTTACACTGCATTATCCAGTGTATCTGGGCAGTGTAGTGCACCCAGCTGCTTGGCTGCTACTTTAGCACTACACTAACCACAAAATTGTTTCCCTGGGCTGTAGTGTAGTGGGACCCTTTTCTTAAACCCAAAAAAACTTGATAGTGTAATGGTTTCACCCCTGGATAGTGCACTACTGCACTATCCTGTAGTGTAACTGGGCCCCTCTTTTTGAGACCACCAAAATCTGATTTTGTAACAGTTTCACCCCTGGCCAATATTGTGTTACACACCATCCAGGGGTGAAACAGCCCAAATCTGATGAGGAACCAGTCCAGCCTTTTCATTTAAGTGTCCTGACCTGCTAGCAGCCATCCATCAATTGTGCCCTTTGTCCCCAACCCCATCCATCTTGATTCTTCACAAAAATCATCTTCAACATTGTTTAATATCATCCAATATTAATTATTATTCATCTTACTTGCTCATATGAATGTTCCTCTCTCCTATGTTTGTCTTCCTAACAGTAATCTTTCTCTTGTCATCTCCTCTCTACCGTTGTAAGACTCAAAAAGTGGTTGTAAGACCCTTTTTGCTGAATGGAGAAGGGGATGGTGGAGGTGCAAGCTCTGCCCTTGTATACTATCAGATAACAAGACCCACCAAGCTCAGCTTGGCAAGTTTTAATCAAGTGATAGGGTAAGTTCAGGAATGAGTTTGTGTGATGCTGAGAATGAGTTGAGTTGTTATTGGTGTTTGGTAAGGTTCTGTAAAGGTGGTGTATCTTTGATTGAGTGGTACTAAAACTTGTGACTGATGAATAATACACTGAGGAGACAACAACTGGGAGGAGAGCCTCCTTATATAGAAAATAGTGAGGGAATTTAGCTCCAGGGCAGCCAGTAATGAGTGATTTTGGCTGGCCTGGGCTATTACATGAGGTATTTTAGCTACATACAAAATTTGAATGTGTGAATGTGATTGGTCAGACATGTACAAGAGTTAAAGTGGTGGGCCAAACAGTTGAAAGAGTGATTCTGATTGGTCAGGTTGTGTGGTGTTTACAAGTGAGTGTGGTGGTGTAAGCTGCAGCTGTCATGCAAGGAAAATATACTAATTCAGTCTGCAGGTATGATGTAATATGTAGAAGTGAAATGTAAAGAGTGTAGATGTATGTAAATGAGTGTGTATGTAAATGTGAGGCTGTACAGTACTGAGGGTGTCTGTGTAGCTTGAGTGTTGTAATTGTGATTGTTGACATGTACTTGATGGTTGAAATCCTTGTGATATGTTGTCCATTTTTGGGTAAGAGTTGATCCAGGTGTGTTCCAGTGACGCCTCCGTGGTGACCAAAGGTGAATTTGTCCGTGAGTCCAGTTCTTGAGCCGTATGGTGTGATTTCTGAGAGAGATTGGGTGATAATATGAAGAAAATATATATAAGAAAAGAAAGAAAGAAAAAACTTTGAATTTTCACATTTTTGACTACCACACCGTAATGCAATAAAAAAATACAAAAAAAATCTGCTTCAATAGTGTAGTGGCCAAAAAAAAACAGCAAAAAAAGAAAATGAGAATGTAGTGCGTTTGCACTACAGGAAAAGTAGTGCTAGTGACAAAAAAACACTACTTTACCGCTACACTACCAAGTGACCCAGTGTTGCTACATATTCTCCATCTCTATCCACAGTGGCCTGGAAAATATTAGAAAAAAACTGCAGGTTACCCGTGAGGGACCTGAAAGTCTGGGAACAGCCCAATCCATCCCCACTCTGTTAGAAATGATCTAGAATGGGACAGACTATCTTACCCTGTTGTTAATTTGATGCTTAATGTAATGCTACTAATAGTATGGTAATTTCCATTAAATTCTGTTTGTATCACACTCAAATTAAAATCTGAAGCACCAAAACACCAGCCCCTACACTGTGCCACACTGCTTTTTAGTGTCTTTTTGCCCCTGAAATTGATGTAGGCAACTTGCATCAAAAATCTTGGCAGGGTTGCTTTACTCAAACTTTTTGTGCAAATAGCCATAGCATAGTGGCCCAGAATTGCAATCAAAGACTGTTGATTCTATCACCATTTTTACAAAGGGAATCTGACTGCTTGAGCTTGATGGATGCTATTTTTCACTTGCATCCAATGGAATCACAATATTATTTGAACCTGATGTGGAAAGTTTCTTTTGAATTCTTGTAAACAAAGTCCTACAGCAAAAAGATTGCAGAGTTTCAATTAATCCTGAAAATTGGATTCAGGTACACAAATTTCAGCAAGCTAAAAAAAGATTCTCTATGAGAGGGTTTACACTCTTAGCAGAATCCTTGTCTCACAGAGATATGAATATGTAGTGGGGCTCACATTTGGATTTTTCCAGATGAGACTTTGCTGAGCCTCAGAAACACATCAAATAAGCTTTTTGAACATTTTTTACTAATACAACTCACATCATCAGCATGCAACCAATCAAATCAAGGACCTCAGATTATTTTCTTTGGGCTCTTCACAACACCTCAGCAACATTTAGGTGTTGCTTAGTTAAGTTGTTGTGTCCAGAGGGTGATGTGGTGAGACCAATCAAGGTCATACATAGTACAAAATAGTTATACATAGTAGTTTTTATGATGTTACAACCTGATATACTTGTACTACATAATTCATTATCTTGTATCCAGTTCAGGAGGTTACAAAATAGTATTTTTACACATAGTTTGGTTACATAATATATAGTACTACGTAGCTACAACATACTACATATCACACATCTCAAGATACAAATTAGTCTTCCCTCAGTACCTTCTTTCTATGATAATAATATTTCAGTAAATGTTATTTATTTCATCTCAGATATCACTTATTCAGACTACATATACTGTTTCATCCCATACATCTGATTTCTCATCCAGATATTGTCATCTCATCTCACACATCATCCACTTCTTTTCATACATCAATTACATCATTCTACATTTATTTTATTCTACATTTATTTGATACTACAAGTATTTCATTCTTACATTCCATTTCAAACTCAATACACATGGCTTATATCCCCTACATCCTCATCATACATGTCATTTCAACTCATTACTCATTGCTTATATCACCTACATATATATTTCACCACACAGATTTCTCATCTCACCTCAGAATATTTATTTCAGTCTTTGATTATCTAATTTCTTTTTGCACTACATATTATTTTTTATCACAAACAGAAGTTACTTCATATTTTCTCCTTTTCAACATGTTTATTTCACACTACGCATTTGTCAGCCACATTTATTTCATAACCAATTTTCTTTCAGATACAACTTATTTCATACCATCTTCTTACATCAGCTGATATTTTACCACTAGTATCTGATCAGAACCACCCACATGTATATAAAGAATACTCTTTCCAACTTACTTTGTTTGCCATGCTTGCATTAGAGAAGTAAACAGATAATTACTTAGCAGGCATCACTTACTAGTAGTTACCAGAAGTAATTATTATTGATTTTCCCCCAGAAGATAAGAAATTGAACCCAGAAACCATTATCCCCCAGAGCCTCATCCTTACCAGAATCCCCCACATCCTCAATCTCTCAGCAGGTGACTTGTACAAGACATCAGTAATAAATCTCATACTAAGATTACCCACAGAAATAGCCACACCTTTTCTTTAATTCTTAGTGTAACTCTCTCCCAAGCCTTGACAAGAGGGCAGCTTCATCAGCATCCAAGTCTTCAACTCACATTTTCCCTTGTGTAGTTGTTCTTTTCCCCTCTAAGCTCTTTTCTTTAGCTTGAAAAGTTCCACAGTGACCAGCGATTCCCCAATTCTATTTCAAAACAAAGCAACAAAGCAACCAGAAATAATTTCAAGAAGGGTCAGAACAACACTGAAACTTAACAGATACAGTATCTGCCATGTATCTGTGTTGAAATTTAAAACTTAAGAGTGGAAGAGGTTTAGGGCCAAAAAAAGGGAGTTCTTATTTTTAGGAAAGACTTGCGGAAAAAGAGTGTAAGAGCCAATGATTTTATTCACTTGCAGCTAGATAGGATTAAATAGACTAGATACAAGTGGTTAAAAAGTGGTTGAAAGAAAATGAATAATAAATGTATTTGAATAAAAACTGAGAGAAGATAAAATGAGTTCTTGAAAATAACAAACCAGACAAAACATCTCATTCTCTTTTAGTCAAGCTAGATGGTCTATTCAAGAGAAAAATTTTTAAATCATAAATACTACAAGGTGTTAATGCACAGTAATCAGTTTTTAATAAATCAAGCAAAAAGATCAGGAAAAAGAAGAAATCATTGTAGAGACATGAGTTGTTGAGAAAAGCTAATAAATTAGGGTCCATATTTGACTCAGAAGGGGCTTAATAACAGCAGAAAACAAGCTACTTGATAATTATAGACTGGTCTGATTTTTGATGACTAGAAAGGTTTAAAGGTCAGAGAGAGACAGAACTGAGAAAAATTCAACAATCTGCCCTAGCTTGTAAATTGTATCACTCAATTTGCAAGGAGATGCAATAAATATGTTTTTTGGCCATGCAGCTTTGCAGAATTCACCATGATACACACAGTGTACTGTATCTGTTACAGTGGTGGTCAGAAGCAAAAAATCACATTTGAACCCCACTAATAGAATGAAGTAGCTACCAGTACCACAACAGGGTTCAATTAGTACAAGTGTGTGCTGAGAGAGAAAAAAAACTGCCCACTTGGTAGGGGTACATACTGCAGTCCAATACAAAACTGAATTTATATTTGGAACAGGGAAAATAATCAGAAATGACAAGGGGCTTTTAGGGATGAGTGGGAATAGGATGGAATTCCAACACTTCTACAAATTTTAATTCTGGCATGGACCCTGATGGATTACATAGCTGGACTCAATAGCACTTAGTGTGTCCTACAAAACTTATGAAAAATGTGATAGAGATTGCTTCCTTGCAATTTGCACATGAAACCATGTTCTACGTTGAATTAATTTGCACAAGGATTTCACATCTTCTCCCAATCAAACTGATGAAGTCTATACAGTCGTTCCAAAATGGAATGAGAATCGGTCTCACCAATTTTGGAAAATCCCCACTAAAATAGTGCGGAGTTTGAATTAAGTTTTGCAGATAGACAACACAAAGTTGTACTAATGGCAGATATTGGGGGGAGGGGGGGTGGGTCAACTGGCATTGCCAGTTGATGAGTGCTTGACAATACACCCACTGACCCAGCAAGCCTTCAATCTCATCATGCCATCCGAAGAGCCCATACCCAATCTTGGTAGCTCTCCTCAAAGCTCACATTCAGAACATGAAGGCAGCCATGAAGAGAACATCACAGATGATGGTCAGGATGTCGAAGTTTCAGTTTTCTTCACAATTTATGTCAACATGCCACCAAGACAAGGGCGACGTGGTATGGTCCGGGTTCCACCAAGATGCTTCAAACATCACAAAGGATGCTCGATTCAACTGCATAGCCGATCGGCCACCCTCGATGAAGTCCAACACAAAATTTCCGACATTTTGAATGCCCGGTGTGGAAATCTCGGGAACATGGTTTTGGCTGACTTTGAATCCGAATCTCCAAAGATCACGTGGAAGGTCTATGTTTCCAACGGTGCCTCGGGTCTTTTTAGTCAAAGGAACAACATGATACTCACTCCTGGAATCTTCGAAGAGTGGAAAGATGAGATTCGGCACAGTCGACGTGGCCAAGCTAAGATTTCAATACAGCAGCCCAAACCAAGCCAAGAGTCAACAGCGGATGAGGTATGAAGCTCCTTTCTTTTCTATACCACCTCTCTTTGTTTTTTGATGAGATGATCAAGTTGATGATCCAATTTTTTTGATTGTTTAGGAAGCTGCAGTTGAACGGGCACTTCAAGAGATGCATGGTGCCAACGGAGGTCCCAATGAAAACCGAGATCAACCAGGCAACATCACCGAATCAAACGAAAGACAAGAAACTCCTCCGTTGAATGATTTTGCTCTGTCGGCGACTATCCGTGAGCTGTACAATATCCATCGTTGAGCTGGCAATTTGCATCGAAGTTTCCCAATATTTCGTAATCCTATTGATTCAACCGAGGCCATTATCCTCAATCCGTCTGCAATGGGGATCTGGGCAGAGGCCATAGTAAGTCAAGTCAGAGCTCAATGGCTTTGTTGAAAATGAGCTGATAGGCCTGAATCGGTCAGTTGAAACCCGAGCCCGGGGTTGATCTCCATCATCCACCATCATCGCTTCGATACCAAAAAATCAAAAACCACAACAATCGTCGTGACTCACCCAGACCTCCGACAAACAACAGAGAACATTCTCCAAACCCAATCTTCTCAACAAGCAATGATACTACCCTAGAAGAATACCTTGATTTTTGTCATTTTCCACGTGACCGCTGGTTCGAATCACTTCAGGACTTTTGCGATGAACAATATGTCAAAAACTACAAACTCTTCACAACCAATCTTGTTGTCAACTCACTTGTAAACGATTATCACTTTCCAGTTGGACTCGTTGCCAGTCTTTGCGAGAACGTCCCACGATTCACTGCACACCTCCGTGCAAATCCAAGAAGACAAACTTCTGCGAGAGGTCAATCTGAGGATGAAGATCACGAATAGAACATCAAATTGATCCAACTTTACCCACAGCACCAAGCTTTGATCACAACATAATGTAATCTTTATGAAAAATTTATCTCTGATTGATACCAGAAATACAAAATATGATATTATGTCATCTTGACTCCTCAAATACACGCTCATGTTATACAAAAGAAATTGTCAACTTGATTCTATACATGTATCCCTGCTCAACTTTCAAAAATTTTGTGTTTTTTATCTGCATTCCTCCATGACCGATTGCCTCAGAATCACTCAAATATTAGTCTGATATCCATTTGCTTAGTTGAAATACTTGATTGCTGCCAAGAACCTGGTCTGATATCCATCTTCTCAGAAAATGAATCAATTGATTGCTTTCAAGACCCAACTGATTTCTAAAAATTAAAAGCTAAAACAATTGAATTTGGATTTCAAAAATTCAAAACAAAGAGATCTTTGAGTCCAAAAAAAAACTAGACAACATAGCCACTCCCAATATATTCTTGTTGGCATAATTTAGCGTCCATGACAGCTGCAAAAGTATGATATAGAAAAGAAACTTTGTCTTCAGCCATAGCTAAACCATTAGTGCGGCGGAGATGATTTTTCAAGACCGAAAAACACATCTCAATGGGGTTCAGCTCAGGCCAGTAGGGAGGCAAATATATCAATTGGACCCCTATTCAACAGTTCAGAATCGTGAGCTTTTGATAGGCAAGAGAAAAAGATGACACAGATGAGGCACACCACGTTCAGTGCACAATTTCTGCACATTACCCCCATGGTGAACTGAGCAGTTATCGATAATCAAAACTGAATTACTGTCTGGAAAGCGATTCATCCTAGGCAGCTGGGAAGATGTTGATCGTCAGTAAAACATTTTTTATTCTTGGTCAGGTGCTACTCACCAGTGTGTGCTTCAAGAATGATTCAAAGTCGGGTCGCTTGAAAGATTTTTCTTTGATATCCAGACCAAGGACTCCATCTATGGAAATACCAGGAAGGACCGAATATCGCTTCGCATTAGAATGGTTGGTAGTTTGATTGCTCCTTTGGCTGTGGGGAGCACGCCCGTGGGTTCGCACAAGGCTTCGTTCACAGATTGAAGTTTCATCTGTTTTGAGTCGATGTCAGTACAAAGATGTGCTTCCATTGAGAAAGGGACTGACCTGCAAATACAAGAAAATGCGCTGGTAATCCTACCACTTCAGCAACATAATTGGCCATTCGGATGTCTGAATGATTCACATTCACAGAGTGATTGTGTTTCAAGCTGATTTGCATTCTCTTTCGGAGTGTTTGGTCGATTGTTGAAATGCAAGTGAGAATCTCATGCTCCTCATACAGCCATTCTTGAATCTCATCGAGGTATGCGGTCGGGTTTTCTCGGAGGTGCTCCTGGAGACTGTCTTAAACATCTTCTGGGATCTTCAAGTTTGGGCCAAATGGTTGGTACTCGTCAGGGTCTCGGATAACACAGCCGGTCCTTTCAAAAAGTTCAGCCCATCGGTATATCGAACTTAGCGAGAAGTTGATGTGGAGGGTTTTCTTGATATCGTCAAGGGCCATCTTCTGCTTCCAGAACTCCACAGCAAGTAGTTTGGCGTAAGGGTTGATGTAGCGACGTGGCATGGCTTCCTGTTGACTTGTTCTGACCTGATGTTGATACGGCAGTCTGATTCATCAGGGACACAAGCATCAAGAGCCCCGATGGGCCCCGATATCTGCCATTAGTACAACTTTGTGTTGTCTATCTGCAAAACTTAATTCAAACTCCGCACTATTTTAGTGGGGATTTTCCAAAATTGGTGAGACCGATTCTCATTCCATTTTGGAACGACTGTAATACATAGGGGGTTGGAAAAACGACTCCCAAAAATTAGTCGACGACTCCCGTTTTGGTCGAGGGGTCGTCGGCTGGGAGTCGTTCTTCCAAAAGATGGCCGACTTTGGGAGTCGGCCATCAAATGTTTTTTTTTATTTTTTTAATTTATTTTTGGGGAGTTGGCGCCCCAAACCGCCCCTCATGCTTAAGGGGGTTTGGGAGTCGTCGCTCCCGCTCCCATGACCGGAAGGATTTCCTCCTTCCGGTCGACAAGAAAAAAAAGTCTCATCGACCGGAAAGGATTCCTTCCGGTCGATGAGGTAAAACACCCCCATCGACCGGAAGGAATCCCTTCCGGTCGATGAGGTAAAACACGCTCATCGACCGGACAGGAATCCCTTCCGGTCGATGAGGTTGTTG